CTATATTCTTTAGTTTGATCTGCGTTTCCATCTACATGCTTGCTGCATTTTCTACTTGCCTTTAATACAGTCATGCTGACAAATGTCTAATACTATTGAAGCCTCCCCCTTTTTCCCTGCAATATTTCAAAGTAACTTTCAATTTTAGCTTTGCTAAGTTTTAGTATCACTTTGTTGAATGGTCTTTTTTTTTTTTGTTGTTGTAACAATTTAGCACATAAAAACAAAATTTTCTTCAACTTGATGCATTAAAATCCATGTAGAAAACATTGGATTTTTGCCCTACTAGTATTTTGTTTAGAATATAAAATCAATTTAATAGTTTTATTACACTAATTTTATCTCTGAAAGACAGAAAAGATCTGTTTCTGGTACATTGAAGCACACCTGTAATAAATAATTTAAAGGATAAAACTAATTGAACTGGCTAAAAAAAAAGATCCACACAGTTTAGTAGTTAAAGGAGTAAGATATCTTTCATAAATTCAACCTTAGCAAGTACAAACTTGAAATTATTCCATACCTGAACAATGAAAACCACAATAACTGAGTATACAGGAGGAGAAAAGCATGACAGGTTTGGGAATTGTCAGCAGTAATGAAGTTGTCAAGCTAAAAAAGACAAACATTGCAGAATCTAAGCTTTGACCTTTATCCACATACTCGAAACAAGACCCAACTAACCGAAATGATTTTCCTCAGTTTGGCGGAGGATGAGTATATTGAAAATGTTGAGCCTTATATTAGCCCATAGACCAAAACCTGGTTTTCCTGTGCTCTGACCCAGAGCACCATAACCGATTCTATTCATTTACAGTCCTGTTACAATGCCTATTTCTGAGGATAAGTTCCAATAAAATATAACTTGTATTTTTCACATAGTTAAACTTGAAAATGTGTCAATCTTGACCCAAACAAACATGAAGGTTAAAAAAGAAAGATGCACATTTTGTGTTGACTTTATCACTGAGAGGCAAGTCTCAAGAAATTAACATCTCTTGTACTTTCTCACATTAGCTCATCTCTGCAGTCTGAAACTCATCTTCATATATAACTGTATACATGAACAACATAGCATCACCTCATCTCTAAAAGCTGCATCAGGATCTTTGTACAGCTAACAGGTTTCTTTCAAAAAGAAACTGAAGCAAATTTGTGTAAGTCCATAAATATTTGCGGGACATTAGGTCGGGATCTTTTCTGACCAATAAAAGTCCAACTCAAAGCTGGAACTTCCGTCTGCAGGCATCCATCTCGTGGCGCTGAAAGATGAAAATATTTTTGTGTCACAGTAAGGAAGAAAACCACTGATGTGTTCTCCAGGCAGCATCTCATTAAAATACTACAATAGATTGTAATAACAGATGAGCAGATTTAAACAAGCAAATCCAGTTGATATGAAAAAGTCAATTAAAGTTCCTTTTTTATTAAACCGACTCACCTTCAGCACCCATTCGTACTCTCCATACTTGGAGTCAAACGTGCCCTTCTGCAGAGATCGGAGTTTTAGAGTGAAGCGAGGTCCCAGCTCCTGAATACCAACTTTCTTCTCGTTCTTGAAGATATACCTTACAGAAATACCATAATTAGTTTATTTGACCTCATTTGAAATAAATTAAGCCATTTGACCATGACTCCATATTTTTTTTAAATTTATGGTCATTTTACTTATTGCTAGATAAAATAATCACACACACTATGACAGGTTGAAAACTCCAGCACTGGAAAGTCATGAAAAGAGAGACAACCTGACGCGTGTAAAGACTTTCCTTAAGGACCTTCACCTACATCTAAAAAAAGAAAGACCTTGTGAAGATGCAGGTCAGAGAATGTCACCATCCACAGTGAAACATGTCGTGTATCGACATGAGCTACAGGTCCACTCTGTACTCCAAAAGCAGATTAAATAATGACTATCACTAACTTCTGGGGAAAAAAAAAAGGGGCCGCCTGCCAGCCTGAGAACACCATCCCAACTTTGAAATGGATGGGTGGCTGCATCATTGTGTGTGGATATTTTTCAGCAGGAAGGTCTGGTGTAATTCACAAAATTAATATAAAAAATAAAACATAATGCAGAAAAGCATGATCTGAAGACCGGCAGTCAGTGAGGTACAGTCTAGAAGCAAGGAAGGAAACAAAATATTTGCCCAAATCACGTGGTTTGAAATGCTAAGAAAGCTTAAAATAATGTATTATTAATAATTCTTGAATTTATCAAGCATAATTATAATTTAATAACTATGTCATCCTAAGTGACATACAGAAAAATCTCTATGAACTATCTACATCTAAGATTTTGTGTTACTTATATCCACATAAAGGAAAAAAAGCAGCATTCCAGTAAATGTAAGGATGTCTTCCTGATCAAGCTTGAACATTTACCTGTGGAATCTGAAAAAGATGAAGTCTCTCTGGTTGTGAAAGGTGGCGACCTGTCGACCCACAAACTGAGGGTTCTGTGGGAACAGAGCGGCGAACAGACGACCAATGCTGTGTCCGAGGCGGGTGGTGAAGTTGTTGAGAATCACCTCTGGATAGTGTTCGGTTGGCTCTTTACCTCGTCTCTAAAAACAGGAAAAAGGAGAGCAGTGCATCAGTATGAGAGCTGAGGTTTGTCTTCAACTACTAGAAGAAATGGTATTTAACTAGGAAAAGAGCAAACAAGCATAAGAACACAGGGTTTGTACACATTTTTATGTGAAATTTTTAGAGTTTTTAACCCTTTTCATTCAATTATTAAAACCCAATTGGAAAAGTTCACATGGAATTTATCTTACGCCTGATTGACGGATTGACTCACTGACCAACTTATTGCATTAGATGCAATAAAAAGTTAATGGATCAACAGCAGATTTAATCAGTCGGACAGATAAAAACTATTAAAATCAAATACTGTTCCACATTTATCCAGGCATGGAAACTACTTGAATGAAATTCTAGCTTATTTTTAAACTGTGTAGGAAACACAACGCCGGTTTTGGAAGATGAGAACTCAAGATTTGTATCCCCAAAAGGCATTAATATTAAGGATATATTTATTTGACTCGCCTTTATTTCTTTTCTTAGTCGAACACTGCTGACTTTGAAGTGTGCAGTTGGCCCGTCAGGAAGGTGACAGAGAACCAAACCGTCTGAAAATAACTGTTAAGGATCCAGATTAGACAAAATAGAAAGTATATTAAAAAAACAACAACAACAAAAAAAACTTTATACCACTCAGCTTTGGTTTCTTGCAATCGCAGAACCCAGATGGTAAGTAAAACAACATTTCTATAAATATTCATTCTAGTATATTCTTAGAGCTTGGACTCTGTAGACATATCATGTGATGAGGATGAATTTACAACATTTTGTGAAGCCAGAAGAGTAACAGTCAAAATAATGATTCAAGTGGGAACAAAAACTGAATGTATCTAAACAAATTTCCCGGTGTCATTATCCCTCTGATGACATGAGGAAGTCAGGATACTGGGCACGAGGCGATCCTGGTTGATGACCATCATGTATGTGAAGTCCCTGGCAACACACTGGGAATGATCCTCTTCAGGGCGAGGCCTCTTCTGTAGTAAACATGGGCGTTTGGGATGACACTGGCCAGCTGCTCACAAAACCTCACTGTTCTCTGCAAGACACAAATGACACAGTTAACAAGGTTGACGTCCACGACTCTAACATTTCAGTTAAACAATCTAGATTTCAATGTAATTTCTATTTTTAACCAAAAGGGTTACATTTTACTCAAATAAAATACTACTTCACAATGCAACCTTACAGATGACATGACATCACATATATAGTTTCTTTTTTAAAATAGCTCTGAATTAAAAATTGCAGATAATCCCAAAACTCACCCCTCTGGGTCTGTCTGATGTAGTGATGAGCACTTTGGGGTTTGTCAACCCGTTGAAATATGCTGAAAATTCATCAGTTCCCTCATCAAAAGCAACCTGGTGATGAGCAAAATGAACAAAACAACGAATGTTCGTTAAAAGAAACACTCACACACGTAGAAAGACCAAAACAACAAAATCCAAACCTCTTCGTCTTCTGGATCAACTGTTGTCTCATCAAACACTCTCTGGTTTTCTATCGTTTTGGGGACCTCCTTTGGTGGCGCCTGAGTTGTAAACAGATCAACATGGAGTGAATGACTGGTATGGAAAAATAAATAAGAATGCACTTACCTGGATTATAATTAAGAAATAATAGTAAACACTCACCTTGTCCCCTAATGCTTCTCTTTCTTTCCTCCTTTTCTTCTTCAATTGAAGTTTTTGCTAAAAGTCAGAAATACACATGCTGTTTTGAACACTCCATTTTAACAGCTGAATGCGTCAACAGTATGATCTGCTCAGGGTGACTTATAAAAGAAACATGAACTCTTCTGTAGAATGGGTTTACCTTCCTCTTCTCCTGCTTGAACTTCATGAACATGACGTGTCTCCGCTGTTTGTTCTTGATCTCGGAGACGCTGAATGCCGGGGGAAACGCGGTCTCGGTCGGATGGGCCTGGTTCTCCGCGGCGCTGCTCTCTTCCTTCACCTCCACGTTTTTAACCTTCGCCTTTGCTTTCATTGGCTTCTTCTTCTTCTTGCTCTTGCTGCCCTGGTCCGTGGGAACTTCGGTAATATCCATCTTTCGTATGTAAGCGGTCTGTTTTGAGTCGCTGCTTCACGTGTTTACAGGCAGTCTGTTCTACTGCGTTCACTTCCTCGAACGAGAGGTGAACGGATTCAACTTCAGCAATGAAAGAGGGGGACCTCTAGTGGCGAGGAGGTGTAATGACTTTCTCACTCGTCCCTATTGAGAAGATTATAAACAATCCAAAACGGCCACATTTCACTGACGCGCATTTGATTTGCGCATTTGTGATAATTCTGAGTTAGTTTGAGGCATGATGATGAAATCAAAAAGTCACATATTTGAATGTTAAATTTATAACTTTGACTTTTAATGTCACAATTCAGACATTCAAAATTATATACTGAGTTCCAAAATTATTGTCAGTTTTCAAGCCATAATTTTGACATGGAAATTTAGATCAATCAATAAAAACTCTTAATTCAAATATTTAAAGTACACATACATTACAGAAAATAAATCTTATTAAACAGTATTTGAATGAGATACATTACATGTGATTAATTTTTTTTGCCGTTTAAGTAGCAGGATGAAGTATCAGTGGTCCTCCCTTTCATCTCCAGTTTGTCTATAGATTATAACATACTGTATAAATATATTATTGCTTTTTGTACACTAGAAAAAGACAAAACCATGATATCCATATAAATATATTAATAAATCTTAAATTCTTAAGTACCCTGTCATTATCCCCAAATTATATTTAGTAAAATCCATGTCTTTCTTCAGGCTCCCATTAATACCATTTCAGATTCTGGTAGACATGATAATTGAAATACAAAAAAGTCATCCTTGCAAAAATTTTAGTCTAAGCGATTTCTAAGTGATTTCATGCATACATATATATCTCTATTAAATACACGTCACTTGCTTGGAGTATTTGATAAAAGAAAATCCCCTGGTGTAACAAAAAATGATTGATTTTTATGACTGTAAGCCTTTACAGTTCTCTCTTGTCAGCCTTAGGTTGAAACTTTTTACACGGTTCATGGTCTAAGATCAGTGACCTGAAAGCTTGTCCCACTCGTGTGTCTTCAGTACAGATCGCTCCTCCTCCTCTGCTCATCTGACTGACCTCCCTGTTCATATCCGAGATGCAGGTCCAGCCACCGTCTGAAGTCACACTCCACTTAGAGTGATCCACGGTGTCACTGACAACCTTCCCCTTCTGCAGCTGCACTTCCTTTACGTTGAAGACATGATGATTGAGCCTTGAGCTGCAGTTAGAGGATAGAGGTTTACTCAGCTTCCCCCAGCTCTTCACAAAAAGGTCGTCGGGCATTTCGTTCACGATGAGACCAGAGTAGAGGTCTGGGATGTAACAGGACAGAGATCATTATCAGTTTTAAGACAACAAACTTCAGAAGTTTTCTTCATTTAAAAAAAAAAAAAAAAACATTTTGTGGATCAGTGCCAAAACTCACCATCTTTAAATCGTGTGTATTTTGCAAAGCTAGTGAAAGTCCTCCCTGCTGCTGATGTCAGCCTCTCCACACTAAACCAGGGCTTTCGTTTTGGGTAGCAGCTTCTCTGTGCAACACAACGCAGCTCCTCATGAAAAGTTGTTGGCATTTCAGAGTCAAATGGATAGGCATGGATGTACATGAGCTGCAGCCCTGAGGATTTAAATGGCATAATTTAAAAGAGTTTAATACTTTTTTTTAAAATCTAGTGTGCAACTCCAGGAAGCTTCTCCAGTAACTTACCTATTTCTTTAAACTGCCGGTAGGGGAAAGTAACACAAAGAAATGTTTGAGCATTTGCTTTTCCACTGCCTGGCCAGAACTCTGCACTGCGATATGTTGGAAATTTGGGTGTGCTGTGTGAAAGCCAAAGTCCAAAGTTGCGATCCAACATCACAATCCCTGAAAGAAATAAAATAAATGTGCAAACGAGTTAATTGGACAGCCTACCTGAACTTTGTGTGCAATTTGGTTGAAAAGTATTGGGCCCACCTTTACTGTGACCGAATGATGAAGGAGCAGAGTATGGGTTTGGAGGCTGATCATTGTAGAGCATGTATCCAAACCCTTCAGTCTGACCATTAAAAAAGAATAGAGAAATAAAACAATGTCCTTTAAAAAAGTTTTTTTTTGATGATGATGAAATCTCACCTTTTTGGTGTAGAAGTCAAGAAGAGGTTTCAGTGTTTGTGCTAGAAAGCCAGTTTTACTGTTGATTTTCTCCTTGCTGAGTTTCCACCCACCGGTGCTCTCATCCATGTACAAATACGACAGTCCACCATCTTTCATATTAGGCAGTTTATACACAATATACCTAATGGTGAAGATGTGAGTAGTTAATTCAGTTTAAGCTCACCAGAGGTAAGAATATTGTCAGAAATCTTCACTGACCAGTCAACATCCTCTCCTCTGTCGTTCCTGCACTTCACGTCTGAATAACACGCTTTATAAAGAAGTCCAATACTGAGGAGGAATCTGATTAGAGTCTGAAACAATTAAAACAAACATAAATACAAAAAGGAAATACTTGGGCTTGATTACATAAACTCAGGGTTAGTTGTGGTGATTAAGCTGCTTACTAAGCCTTAACATAAAGAGATTTTGTTGTTGTTTAGAAGACACCACAACGTTTGAGACAGACATTGGATCAAACTTATAGTCAAGATTTTGTACACATATTATGTGGAATCTTAGCATCGCAACCCTGACATTTTAACATTTAATCATTAGTCAAATGCACTATTTTGACTGATATGATGAAATAGTATTTTAGCGCCAGCAAGATGATTCATAAGAGAGATTAACTGGAAACTCGGCTTGAAGTAGACGATAAGCTGAAAAACCGATGCAGGGCGTTTTGCATAAATACTGCAGTGCAACTGCTGGATAATAACTAAGGCTTCAACCATATCATGTTAGAAGTCAAACTTTTCAGTTATTTCTTTGTTTATATGTTATCTTAAGGAGTTATGGAGCAGCCTTCTGAAAATATGCAAGATTGTTGTGCTCATTACCTTTGTTATCTATATCTGGGTTTCATATATTTGAAGCATGTTCTGGTTTTCTATAAAATGCATTTCCTGGACGAATAAAAATGAGTGATGCAACACAACTGCCTCCCTTCACAAGAACAAGTCAAACCCACAGTGGAATTCTACTCAGAATATCAATATATATAGATATTATGCTCCTTTCACTTTGTGAGCTCTCATTCATTCACCAAACTTGCAAACAGTCCAATAATATTAAGGAAATTGAGTTAAAACTATCCTTTATTTCAAAGGTCTTTTCTTTATCTTAAATAATAGCATGTACTCGACTTCAGACAACTAATTTATGTTATTATTCTCTTTAAAATATACAAACGTATCACTTACGGGTGCTGCCATCTTCACTCGCCTTTAAACTGGACTACAAACCTGTTTGAAAAAGCTGCTGTGTCACATGTCAGCGTGAAAAGGAAACTCACACCCACGTCTCGCATTCATCTTTCAGCTGCTTCCTTGTTGCTCAAACCAGAACAGCAACAGAAACATTGTTCCCTTTATGTTTTAACAGTCCGAGTTGCTCCACACCTGCTGACACTTCCATTGTGTTTCAACATATCAGAGCAAAAGTTGTTAGTGCATCTCACACTTAGCATCTTCTGAACATTCATACAGATTCACCATGTCGATAGAGAGCTGGAAAACAACATGACGGCACACAAACATGGATGTTTCTATTCACTGTCTACTAAACATGGTGCTCAACTGAAAAAAAATAAAAATTTTATCAGGATATGTGAATGGCTGTATCAAATACAAATTCATATAATAGCAGTTTGTTTCAGTTTTTCTCAAGCAATACATAATAAAACACAGATGCCTCCACTGTTTAACTGAATTCATGATCAGTGCAGAGAAGGGAGGTAATACACCTCGATGTTCAAAATAACATAATAACATGACGGCTTCACTATGTCTTACCACTAGGAGGCACTGTTTAACACAAATGAAATAGAAACAAATGTTGAAGGGGGACAGACTGGATTTAATTACATGATGCAATAAATTTCTCCACGCTGGTTTTTACGGTATTATAAAAATGTTATTTATTTTTGTTTTTTCAGACCTGTCGGCCCAGTTCCAGAGTGGTGGAGTTTCAATTTGTCCTTAAAAACAAACAAAAGACAAAACAAAAACGGCATCACACAAAAATAATCTGATTTGATACAGAAAAGTTGTTTCCAGAGGGTGGCATCATTTATAAAATAATTAAAATTTTCCTAACCATTCTGCTCCTTTGTAAAAAAAAAAAAAAAGTAATTGGACCCTAAACCTAATGACTGTTTGCGTTATGGCAGCAACATCTGCAATTGAGAATTTGTGAAAGCAAAACATTATTTGACAATACCACAAAAAAGAAAAAAAGAAAAAAATCAGATGAGGGCTTTCTGCAGTGCTTTGTGGTAAAAAAACAAACAAAAAACAAAAACAAAAAATAAAAACTAGAACTGGAACTGGAACTAAATATAGAAATCTTAGCAAAGAGTGATTGCATCAAATCATAGTGTTACCAAATCTCTACCACTATCATTTAAGGCTGCTGTACACATCTTAAATGCTCCAACAATCGTGCAGGCACTGCGAGTTTGTCACACTAACTTTATCAATTCAGGATCAAAATAATCTAGCAGGTAAAAGTTAAAAGAAATTTAGTTGATGCATATAAGACAGATTTTTAAAATCTAAAATGCTTAACTTCATGTTTAACTGTGTACATTGTAAATGGATTATGACTGAATAATCTTCAGCAATAATTCAGTCTTGTTTAGCAGCTAATGTACCAGCCCACTGACTTTCTGAAGGCCTTGTAAATCACAGGGTTGTAGGAGCAGATCAGCCCCCCACCACGTAACATCTGAGTCTTGACCCGGTTCAGATCCCCCAGGCAGACCACCTGGTCCTCATAAGCCTGGGACACACTCCACTTTGAGTGGTCATAGTGAGACTCGAACTGGACCGATGGCGGAAGCACAGTCCTCTTGATGTTCATGGTGTGCCTGGGCAGAGAGCAGTTGGAGGGCAGTGCTCGACCTTGGGTCTGCCAAGTCTGCACCAGAAGATCAGCGTCCAGGACCTGAGCCACCCAGCCAGTGTAGATATCTGAGGGATAGATGGAGAACTCAGGTCCATCAAGAATAAAAACATACCTTACAGAAGTATACACAGCTCAAAGAACATGCATTATCTGTTCATGGTATTTCAAAGCATCAAGAAACCAACTACTCTGGGCCTTCAAAGTAAGCAACTACATCTCTAAAAATCAAAGTCTAAAAACTTAGAACTTCTTACCATCCACAAAGTGCTCAGATTTTGCAAAGCTGACAAATTTGTCCCCACTGACAGAAAACAGAGCCTTCATTCCCTTGTTGGCGGTCAGTGGCGGTCTGGAGCCCTCACACAGCTGGAGGAGCTGCGGCAGGTCGGCCGAGAACGCAGCGGGAACAGAACAGTTGTAGAAACGTGGGTAAACATAGACGAGCTGCTGTGCTGCAGAAGAAAATAAAGGAAAAAGACACAGACATAACTAGGTGTGAACAATCTTTTTCACAACGTAAATAGCATTTGAAATATGGAAAGGCCTGATTTTTGTACCTTAACTCAAAAATGTACCCACACTGATTAAAATTCTAGGTTTTTGAGACTTGAAAATCTGGGAATTTAAAAAAATTTAGAATGTTAAATTTTTTCTTCAATGGGAAATATATCCTGTAAAATTCAGCTTGAAAACAACAAAGAAAAAACATATAAAAAAGAGAAAAGGTCCAATAACATGGTTGCATGCGTTTTTCTTCTTTTTTATTAAAAAAAAAAAGCAGTGTCAACATGCTTAATAATTTATGAAGCAGACTTACACACACACGCACAAATGTATGATCACAACACACACACACACACACACACACACACACCACAAACACACACACACACACACACACACACACACACACACACACACACACACACACACACACACACACACACACACACACACAATAAGCATTCAGGACTGGTTGCTTCATGACGCACTCACTAACTCACCTATACTGAGAAACTGTGAATACTGGTAGGTGACACACAGGGCAGTCTGGCCATTGTGTCTACCAGAGGAGGGGTACTGGTAGCCTCGCTCAGGGGATGAGGGGAAATGGGGAACGGTGTGGGACAGCCAGAAACCTTGAGAATGGTCAAAGAGCAGAACCCCTGCAGGATGCATGAAAGCACACACTTGAGCAGGCAAGAAAGCACGCCTATGCTCTCACACATGCAAACAGGCACGAAGACTGCAAAAAAACTTTCCACCAAAGTTTCGTCAGAGTGTTACGGAGGTCGGGGTAAACAGTAGCTATCAGGCTGTTGCTCTTTGGACATTTCCTCTCACTTTGATCTGCCTTCACTGCGAAATCACAACATTTTACTGCTGGTTTGGAGAACAAAGTTAACTATAAAGATGTAGATGTTTCTCTTTAACCTAAAATACTATGCATTGTTCCTACTAACTACTGCCGTTATGGTAGCAATGCCTTAAATGCTTTTCTTCTTCTTTTTTTTTTACTGTGCTAGCATTTACAAACCCCTCACAAAAGCAGAGACTCAAAACAAACATAAAGTTAATCAAACACTACAAGTTCCTTAATGTTACACATTTTACATTGCAGTCACAAAAGTTACGTTCTTTCACAGAAAAAAACAAACAAACATTGTTTCAGGACATGAAGGATATATTCAAAGATCCAAACCACTGTGAAATACTTTTATGGATAAAACAAGTACAACTGTAATTATTTCAGATTAACTGTACCTTTAGTGTGTCCATAAGAATGTATGTATTTCTGGTGTGGTGCACCGTCATTGTAGAGTGCATACACTGAGCTGTTTGACTGAAAGAGAAACTAGTTTACAGTGTTGTACGTACTGTGAATACGTATTTGGCAGCTTGTAAATTTTCATTTGTTTTCACTTGATGTGTTCACTTGACACAACATCAAAATGGCACAGAAACAGAAGGAAACAGGCAGCGAATACCCCTTTGCAGAATTTGAGGAGATAATAAAATTTTTTCAAACATTTGTCTCTGACATTGTATTTATTTAGGATGTTTTGAAAAATAATAATAAAAATGGACAATTGAAGGAGGAAACTTCCATTATTTATACATATTAGATATTTTGTTGATGGAACAACTTGTAACGCTTGTGTTCTTTTTGGAAAAGATTATCAATATGTATCCCTTTTTTATCATTATACAGCTGACGTGTCAAATTTATTTCACTTTGACAACCTGACCTACTGATCCAACGCTTTCAAACAAAGTTCCTAAAATATTGAAACTTTACTGTAACCAATGTCATTTTCTTTACAAATCTGTGAATTTTCTCTGCTGAATAAATATCTACACCTATATAATGAAATATATAAGCTTGCTTCCTGTTTGAACATTAGAAATTCTAGGGGTCTGCCTTAAACCTTAAGAGCATTCGCCAATGGACAATAGCAGCAGATCTCACCATGTAGACCTCTCCCTTGTACAGTTGATTCAGAGTGTTGGCCATGGCTCCTTGGGTTGTGTTAACCATAAATTTACTCCTCTGCCAGCTACCAGCTGCTGAGTCCAGGTACATGTACTCCACTCCACTGCCAACCTCCCCAATCCTGAACTTGGGCAGTTTGTAAATGACAAACCTGGAAAAAACAGATCGAAGCAGATTAGGAAAATATTGGGGATCATCTTATTCACCTTTTCGTTCCTCGGTGTCAGCGACCACCACACAACAAAAAGATGACAAAAAATGTGACATCGACTCACCAGTCAACAGCTTCGCCGGCTTCATTTCTGCAGGAAATGTCACTCCTGCCAACTGTGAAACACAACAATACGACAGTAAGGTGGAAACAGGGGACGAGTTGAGAGGCCATCCTGGGCAGACTAGCTGAAAATAACGCGGCTAAATGCGGATTTTAAAAAATGTCTGAAGCCTGTTTGGAGCCTGTGAGCTGTATGGCAGAGTTTTTGAAAGTAAAGAAAGCACAGCTGCAATGATATGCAAAAAAAGGAAGTCATAAGATGCGGTCACATGATAGGGGAAGATGAAAGTTCTGTATAAGGAAATAAATTGAATATTCATGTTTTCTGACATGGGTTTAGTACTTTTTTAGGGAGATCGACCAAGTAAAGCTTTTCTTTCTTCTTCTTTTCTTTTTTCTGTTTTTTTATTAAACTTCACTAGAGTTCGTTACATTCAAAGTGTTGCAGCAGTTCACACCTGATCATTTTTTATTTTTAGCAACCAGCATGCTGTTTAGTGAACTAGAGAATACTTGGTTAAAAAAAGACACCACTGTGTGCCTCAGTGAAAGCTGTTCACTTTCATTTCACTAACTGAGGCTGAGAAACAACAGTAGATCTTATTTGGGACTGAAAGTTTCTCTTTCAAACACAATTATCAAAAGTTCCAGTGTTTGATTTATAATTAGACAACTTACAATCAGTTCTGTAAGTAAATGTTAATTTTAGTAAGTGGGATATACTCTAACACAGTGCTAGTACATAAGATACAACTTGTGTGCTGTCCAGAGAAGCTATTGCTAATTTTCAAGTATAACCAACATAACAATATTTAAATTACCAACTCTCTGAAACTACATTAGCCTATGAAAAGGTAAATGTACATTGTCAATACAATACACTTAAAGCGGTAAACACAATTATACAGCCAACCAAGAAAAGAAACAGTAAAACATAATTTTCCAAACGGTAACTGTAAGACTATGCATTGCCTTTACATTGTATCTCATGTTAAAGCATAAAACATAACATTTTGGAAAAAACAAAACAAAACCCAATTTTCCATATCAAATGTGACCTGCCTCAGGAATCAAGGAACTAACAGGTGTTTGTACAGAAAAGTTTACACATTCATTGTATAATAATTTTTTTTAATCATTATTGTTTCAGAAAAAACTATATATTTTTGGCTCCACATCTAAAAAGATTAATCTTTTAACATTTTTTTAAGCAGCAATATTTAAGTCTTTTTCATAAGTAAAAATGCCATTACAAAGATCATTACCAACATGTGATGAAAGTAAGAGGCAATCACATATTCAGAGAAAATGGTACTAAAAAAAGGTCTTCATTTAGGAGTTAATGCACATCAATTAAAATCAATTTAATAACAATAATAAAAAAGTCAATAGACAACCACTATGAACAAACAATAGAGGTAATCTCCATCACACTGGAGTTACTGCCTCAGATTACCTCTTGCAATTAACACAGCATCAGAATACGGGGTTTGCAGCAAAACCACTACTTTGCAGAATGGATGGAAGGATGTCAGCTAGCAGACAGCTAGCCCGTCCACATGAGCCACTGCACATAAAAAAAATTCAGTTACGAAACAAGGAGATCAATACAAAATAAGGGAGCCTCTACGTGCAAGGGTGACGGGGTGTGTGCGCGATTGCGCACATGTAAAATATGATGAAATCCATCTAGAACTCCCAATAGTGTGAGTACAAAGAAGGCGACACCCCCTCAGCAAAATGTACCTAATATTGAAAAGAGGTTTTTTATCTTTTTCGGGGATGGGGGGAGTTTGGAGTCAGACAAAGTCAGAAACGGTGGAAGAGAACAAAGCAACATGGCATACGCTGGAAATCAGGTAATCATTTCAGAGGAGGAAAATAGGACAAATTTTTGTAAATTACATAACAAAATTACTCTTAGTGTAAAAATGAACAATTTTAACAGTGAAGGTAAAATCATCTTTGGGGTCAGTTACTGAGGCAGGTTAAACCATAACCTGCCACTTTCAGACCTATGAAGCAATGTCAAACTCTTATGGTCCAGAAATGTATTACAGTAGTTTATAACTACTATTAAATAGTTACAACCTTACAAAAACATCAGAGATGCAAGTAAACTTGTCAATGTGCAAAAATATGGTGCAAATTTTGGCAATAGCTCCATAAACAAGTTTACAATTTAGGCACAAATTAAAGCTTTAAGATGAAAATAATCAGGTTGCACAATAAATAGCATGAGAATGAGACATTTAGCGTTGCACATTTGCAGATTTGGATGAAACTGTCAAGTCTGTTCTATTAATGCAGAATGTGGAGTTTGTGCGGACAGGCTACGGCAAGAATGCGGTGAAGGTGATGGTCATCAAGAGACACGGGAGCCACCACTACCTTATTGAGCTGAAGGCTAATGTGGAGATAACACTCAAGTCCCGCAAGGACTATCTGACCGGAGACAACTCAGACATCATTCCCACCGACACCATCAAGAACACTGTCCACGCCCTGGCCAAAATCAAAGGGGTGAGTTACAGCTTCACTGCACTTCGCAATACATTTCAAGATACAAACTCGCCGATTTTCAAAACAGCTTCTAAATTACGTTTCTGCTGTGTTGAAAATGATTTTCTTTTTTTAAATTTTGGCTTGATTTCTGTTTATAGTCAACCTTCATGCAGATTATACTGCTTATCTAATTTTCTTGGCAGTAGCAGAATATGTGTTATTTTAAGACAGAGAGGAATGTTAAAGATTTCATGTTTAAAATGTTGAAGGGTGTGTCATCGAACGCCTTAGTTGATGGTAAAGGGTATTCTGCAGGTGAGTTAATAGCCAAAGGGATGCTTAACACAGCATGTTGGGTTTACTCCCTGCAAAGGGGAGATTATTCTTTGTAACGGCTTTCTGGTGGTTTTTGCAGCTATACAGAAATCTGAGGAAAAGAGATTTATTTTTTTTTTAAAAGGCTGACTGCTTCACAGTGAATAAATTAAATTTTCAGTGAAGACAAAAGTGATAATCACTGTCATAGTCAATGAAAATATAAATCCACAATTTTTCTATCCTCTACTAAGCTATATTGTGATAATTGCAGCTTTTCAGCCTCACTTTGTATCCATGTTACGCCTCCCTTTGGAGATAAAACTATTCAGACTCTTTTTATTCTATTTATTAAGGTAAATACTATTGAGCAATTTTCCCTGGATCTCTGCCATCATTTCCTGACCTCTTTCAACCATGTGCTGAGGGCCAAGGTTTACATGGAGGAGGCGCCCTGGAGAAGACTGGAGAAGGTAAAACCCATAATCCAGTCCCTCGACTTGGACAAAATATACATTTTAGCTTGTTTTCTGCTATTTTACTAGCATCACAATTAAAAAAAGTACAATATCTCTCAAAAGTCTAATTACCCCATGTTAAAATCCAGGTTTTTCATTATATAAAATGCTTTACATATGTACTGTGACAAATATTTTATGCAATTGGGTCAAAAAAGATAAATAAAAAAATGTGTACACACCTTTTCACTAATATTTTGTTGGGGCACCTTCTGGTTAATTTTCAGCATCCAGTCAGCCTGAGTTCTCCCCCATCAATTGAATCTGATTAACTTGCAATGATGTTCAGCTGGATTTTTATCCCTCAGCTAAATTAAACATCTGTAGTGATGTGTGACACTGGTTTCCCATCAACAAAGCTTGAAAGCTGCTTTAAAAAAGTATTAGTTTAAGTACCTTGTTCATTTTGCTCTTTTGAAAAAATCCATTCGCGTTTTGGTTGAGTAATCCCGGATCAAAATCTTGTTTCCACTGTACCAACCAGTGAAGTATTCAAGTACTTAGGATTAAAGCACCAATGATTTTTAGACACAACCACTCTTTGTTTCTTTTTCCAGAACGGTGTGGGACATGTCCATGCTTTTATCTACAGCCCAGAGGCTTGTCGCTTCTGTGATGTTGAGCAGAACCTCAACGGTAATCATTGGAAATATGTTTGCATATGTTTGCATGTGTGTTTGTTTGTGGGGTTTTTTTTATTATTATTATTAAAATGTGCTTAGTGTTTTGGTGCCAAAGGTGGGAGACATATCTTTTTACATCTTGAGTCCACTTTGTTAGCATGGCTAATGACATGAAACATAAAATTATCTTAGTAGGTCTCGTCTATTATTATTTTACCTCTTGTAAAATGCAGCAGTTGAAACTGTTGACAACTGTATCTGTGTATCTACAGCTATTATCCATTCTTGCAAATGTTTGGGACAGACTCCATTTCCATCTAAACATCTAAAATGTTTTGTGCTGTTTCACCAACTCTGTTCTGCACACAGGAACTCCAGTGGTTCACAGCGGCGTGAAGGACATGAAGGTGCTAAAAACCACTCAGTCTGGCTTTGAGGGCTTTTTCCGAGACCGTTTCACAACGCTGCAAGACGCCAAGGACAGGGTTTTCTGCACCACTGTTTACTCTAGGTGGCGCTACAACAAGGTCCAGAACGTTGACTTTGATGCTGCGTGGTAATTATTGAAATTTTTGTGTGGGATCAATCTGGAAGTGCTGGGAAAAACACACAACAAAGATGATTTTTCAACTCAAAAAGATAAATCCTGAAAGGAAACTTCTGTCTTTTGTAGGAAGTGTGTGAGAGATACAATTATTGAGAAATTTGCTGGCCCCTACGGTCGAGGAGAGTATTCACCGTCTGTGCAAAAGACCCTTTATGAAACACAAGTTCTGGTCCTGGACAGGATTCCTGAGGTGAGCCCTTCCCTTCAACAAATCAGTTTACTCAAAGACACTTATGGCTGTGCAATCTGTTGTAACCGTCTTGCATTAGATACACATGATTAGTGTATGAAGTGGGTTTTGTTTTCAAAATATTCTTATCCGTGGGACATTACCAGAAACAATATGTAGCACAAAACTGAACAGGAGAAATGGTCTTCTTAGGTGGAGGAAATCGAGATTGTCATGCCCAACCAGCATTACTTCATCATAGACATGACAAAAATGGGTCTAAACAACAAAGATGAGGTAAATACTACCATTGCTTACAATACCAAACCTTACGTGATTGATAACATATCTTTTTGTTTTCGATCAGGTGTTTCTTCCTCTGGATAATCCCTCTGGAAACATCACAGGAACAGTGTGTCGTAAGCAGAGAGCCAGACTTTAAAAGGGAAAGCCCAACCTGAAGACACTGCTGGTTTCAGTATTAACCTCTTGATCCAACTAACAGAAAATCTGATGATATATCCAACAATGTCCCGTAAGATGTAAATAAAGTTGCTTCTGACTCTGAAGGTGTAATACCGACCAACCAAAAAAAAAAAAAATTACAGCCACTTTCACTGGGAATTTCTTTTGATTTGCAACAATGTTTTGCGTCAAGGTCGAATGTTCCCTTTAGAAGGAATGCATGACATGAATTACATGCATGGAGACACGTAAATATGATGATATTTAGTACAATTGGTGAAAAAACCCAATTGTTTTGGTTTTACGAGGAACCCTACTAACATGGTTTTAGTTTTCTATTTAAGGGCACATTTTTCAGATTAATAATGTGAGGAAGCTTATTTTTAAAACACATTTTCTGGTTAAAAACAAGAATAATGTTTGATCCCTGGGGTTCTTTTACGACAACTCTCAATTAGCTCAAAGGTAGAAGTTTCATTATTTTGCTAAATGTCAGTAAAACACAGCAATATAACCCCCCAAAACAATAACATTAGCTGTAGTTTTTGGTGTTTTGTGTATGCAAACAAAGTTTTGGTCTTCAAATGTTCCTAAAATTATTTAAATTTATTCTTAAATGTTAAAAAAACAAAACAGATTCCACATTATCTTGTGTCTTAAACAAAAATGAAGTCAAAATGGAAAATCGGTTTACCAAAACTTAGAAAGATATATTCCAACAGTTTGTAGAGTCAAAGTAATTTTCTTTGACTTTATTAATTTCTTGTACCTGTGCAGAAACATTTGGCCACATTATTCTTCATATTACATGGTTTCTTGAGGTTTGCTAGAATTTTTATTTACTCCCCTAATCCATCTCCTCTGCCCCCCTGCAGAGGGTCAGTGAGACTATCACATATTTATCTGCATTTTTTAATTTATCACAGAGGGTAACACTGAAATTTAGCTATGTTCTAGAAACAAAGTCCAAATATTACACTTTATATCTCTAATGTCCCACTACATCATCTTAAATGGTCTGAAATTTGAGTGGGTCTGTAAAAGAGATAAATAATGTGTTGCCAGGTAACTGTGAAGTGTGAAATTAAACAAAAAGAGTCAAGAAAGTCAAACTGATGTTCTTTGGTGAGAAAAAAAGCACCATTTATCATCAATTTTAGACTCAAGATATTCAAACTCCAGTGTTATGTTGCACTTAAACATGGGTCATGAACACTTCAATACAGCTGTCTGGGTGACAAAGCTGAAAGCACCACAGGTAGGTATGTAATAAGAATATATATACACAAAGATTTCCATACCAAGAGCCTCAAGTCTAAATAAAGTTGGTTTAAAGAAACAAAGAGGCTTTAAATAAAAGTCCTGGAAAACAAAGTGATTAATTGTTACATGCTCTGGACAAATCATGGACTCAGATGTGCAGTTCAAAACATAAAAACTAAATTCAGGGAAACACAATGGGATCATAATAATTTTCTGCATGTATCAAAGTGTTCAAATATAACAGAACATACATCCTTTTCAACTATATATCTTCTTATTTACAAATAGTTAAAAAAACCCATTGCGGTTTAATTTACTTTGCACACACATTCACCACACAAAACACAAGCCTAACCTTCAGAATACTCACTCTTAATCTCTTTTCTTAAATAAAACACAAAAAAATACAAATCTTAAGCAGCAGAAATAAGAATGGCTGAAGGGGTAAACAGCTGAGTGAACGCAGTGTGCAGACCAGGGTTTTGGGATCCAGGCTTATTAAAACAAAAACAACAAAAAGAAAACATACAGCATTCAAAACTTGTCAAGGTGCCTCTGTTGGCAGAAGAGTCTTTGTGAAGCCGCAGCTAACCTGGAGTCTCCTGACATGATGATTGTCGCTGAGGTGTGGCGGGGCAGTTGGCCGTGCTACGACGCGTTGCTCTTCAGGTGCTGCGTTTGCAGCGGCTTCACGTGGTACTCGTAGATTTTCAACGCCGGGCCGAGTTTTATCGACAGTCCTGTTAGGACGTCGTTACGCGTCATCAGGAGCAAAGACTTGCCATCAATTTCCTGTCAGACCAAAAGAGAAATTCTGTATTTGGATGCTTTAACATCTGCAAGTTGATATGGAGTAAGACAGATGGAAAAACTAACCTGATCTTGGAAAGCTGTGGCCTGCTCCTCAAACCCTGTTGCCTTGAAATAATTGACAACGTCAGCAACTCCCCAGTTGGAAGGGTCAGGCAGCTGACCGTTCTCCACCGGGCTGTGGGATAAAAGTTACTCATCTCAGACTAAACTGTGACCACAGCAGAAAAAAAACTACTTGAGTTTCCAATACAAAATGAAAGAAGTAAATTGATTTATCGGCTAATTCTGGATAATACCTTTTGTTGTCAACTGAACCATTTGCCTTGTCCTCCATACTGGCTGTTGAAAAAAATGATAAAGGCAAGCATATGCAATTAATATGACAATCTCATTATCAGTTCAGTTCAAATACAATTATTATTTGAGGTCATAAAATTAACTATCCACACTTAAAATAATAATAAAAAAATCAATCAAGAATGTTTTCTGAAGTGAGCTGTTTTTTCATCTTAGGCATCTGATGGAAAAGTTTTACAAATGAGACAAAAAAAAAAGAGTGACAGTCCTAAAGATAAAAAAAAAATTCAGTAGTCAGAACATTTCTAACTACATATTTTTTCTGTCCTTCAAAAAGTGATCAATAGAAATAAATATTCAAGATTCTTATGCTAACATATTGCAACACTTAGTAGGAAAAAACAGGATTAAGTTAATAATTTTAAGACGCTAATAAAATATGTCCTTACAATTACTGCCCCTGGTGGTATCCTTTCAGGTGGCTGAAAAGAGCAGCCACCTATTGGCACGTCAGATATGAAACAAAAGAAAGAAAAAAATCCAATACGGAATACTGAGGAGCAACTACAGCTAACTATTGACTCCAGTTTGAACCTTACAGATGATGCAGTTTAAAAATATTGTACTCCTCAAACAAAAACAAAAAAATTAACAGGTAAAAGAAAAGCTTGATTCTCTACAACACAATTGATATAAAACGCACGATTATAATATGTGAAAACAGTTTGCTTATGTCTTATGTGATGCACATGCGGAAAAATGGTTTGAAGGGAAGGCTTTACTTTGATTAAATAACATTTTGCAACCAAAAAATGAAAGGTCGCTCCATTTGTGAAAAAAAATAACCTAAAGTTTAACTGATTTCACAGTTAAACTTAATCTCCCATCTAGTAAAGTCTATGTCTATTCTAATAGACTTTAAGCAAGACATTGAGACCAATCACCTAATTTCCACATTCTGCTTACAGTTTTGCAAATGAATGAAAAGTTTAAGGACACACAAACTGAACGGAACGAGTCTTACATTCTGTTACGTTGCAGTAATTTTTCATTAGATGTCTTCTGCGAGTGAACTCAGTGTGTTGGCAGTTCAAACACCATCATCGTTTGTCTTTCTGACATTCACTGGATGTCTCTGCAGAAAAAGCACACCGCCACAGCAGAACGGATACAGCCGTAAGTAAAGCAGCTTCATGAACTAAAACTGGCACCGTTTGTCATAAACGCGAGTCGGAGTAAAAAACTGTGATGTGTAAAAATTGACGACGTAAAACTCACGTTGTTAGAGGAATTAAAACCAGAAAACAAAAAAGAAAAAAACTGACCCCACCACAATTATAATTCGATGAGAAAAAAAACATTACAAATTCAAGAAAATAAAATGTGTGGTTTTTCTAGACGAAGAGTATATATTTAATCGCACGCTCGCCGTGTTTTGTAATAACGCTAACGTTAAGCTAAGAGGGATAGTTAGCCTCGTTTGCTAATACCAAATTTAACAGTTACCTTATTTTAGGAGATTCGGGCTTGACAACAGCTGCTCGTCCAAGTCAAAAATTCTTATTCAACAAACAAAAAGTTTTATAAGCTGCAGTATTTTTACCAGTTAATAAACTGCGGCGTTTATTTGATAAAATCAAATTATATTCAAGTAAGCCAACAAGCTTCTTCGCTTTCGTTTCCTTCGCCCACAACGTCACGGAATCATGGGAAATGTAGTACAAATGCATTTGAACGGGTTTAACGACGAGCGTTCCTCACAGAAACACACACGTTGTTGATTTCAATAAAAAGAATTTATTATAATGACATATCCTCTTTGTTACATAAAATCTGCTACAGCAAAGTGTACTTCGCTTGCAAACACAAGTAAATATGATTGAGGGGGAAAAAATGTGTCAGCTTTCTAAATGATGTGCAAAAATATCCACAAACTAAATTACAGACACATTTCAGATTATTGATTCCCATACTGGCACGTGTGACTAGCTACAAGAATTCATAGAACTGATTTCCTTCAGTCAGGAGGAGTGTGAAGTGGCTCAGGGAAAGGTGCCGTCGTTTCACATCAAATGTCAACAAACATCACACACATGAGGGAGGGTCGAACAGATGATACAGAAGAAGAGCTGGCGATTGCCTACATATTTGTTTCTGAGAGGATTTACACACAGGCAGTTGGACAGAGACATGCTTGTGGGCCCAGGTGAGATTCATCAAATTCAAAAACATTGGAAATTGTTTTTAGGCATACCATCTGTTCACCCTTCAAACTGGACAAAAAAATATAATTTCGAATAAATACAAAAGGAAAAAAAAAAAACATTTCAGGAGGCATTAGAGGTGTCAATATGCATCGAATATAGATGTAGCAAATGAAATAAAAACATAAATAAACAATTTTGGTGTTTGCAATGCTTAACAATTTAGGTCTGCATACACATACTGAGACCTATGGAAAATTAAATGTTATTTTGTTAGACTTCTATATATAAATAAAATGCATAAGTAGCAGTTGTGCCTTTATAAATTAAATTACATAAAATGTACATGTGCTCAGACAGAATGATTAAAACAAATAATTACTTAAATCCTGTTTTTGAATTTAGTTGTTTAAGAATGTTTCAATTGAACAGAATAGCTTTTTATTCTTTCATATGAAAAGATTCAGGTGTCAGTTTGGAAAGACTGTCGAGGACATTTTTGTGTATTTTGATTCCTCCTCAGCCCACTGGAGTCCAGTATCTTAGAATTTGAAATTTAGACTTCACTGTGGATGACAGGGAGAGAGAAACTCCTCTTTAAAGGACTACAGGCTTTCCAAAATCAAAAATATATCTGCTATGAGAAAAGAAAAAAAAAAACACATCAAAGGCATACCACCTATGTAGGTACTCAGCATCTGAAATATAGATTTTTATAGATGCACTATTTTGTCATGCTGGAGAAAAGAATGTGGAGTCAGGGACTAAATTTTAGCAGCACAATATGCAATGAGTCAGAAGAATCCCTCATAGAAGTTATATTTGTCTCATTGAAATAAAACAAACAAAAATAATCCTAAGAAGTGGCATAATAAAAAAAAAAGTTTTTTTTTGTTTTTACCTTATTCCCCTTAAAAATGTAACGTTTCTATTCATTAGCAATTTCAGTCAGTTGCCACTAAGCTTTGCAAAGCAGAATAGGTAAATTTTGATTAATTCAGTTAGGAAACAGTGTAAAGACTACAAGTTATAACTGCAGGCCAAAGATGGAGCAGTCTAGCTGTGACAAAGATAAATCAATACTTCATGGTAGTTCTGTTATTGCTGCGACGTGATTATGCAGCACTGTTTATGGCATTTGTGTTACATAGACCAAAATATCACCTGCTTTCACACTTCATGCTGTGACACAATTCCAAGGCTACAAAACAAAAAAAGTGGGGACACTATTAGCTTCCAGTAACGCTGCTGCACAACCATACACATGCAAAAGTAAAAAAGAAAAGAAAACATCACAATCTTGGCTGAGTGCTCTGCTCAGACACAGCATTTATACTCAAAACACAACCCAAAGGGGACAAAGATCACCCCAAGTGAGCACCACTGCTTTGTATCCTTCAGATAATGTAACAAACTGACCTTTCAGCGATTGTAAAATGCCATGCGAGTGCATTTCTGGACAGACTTTTAAATGTACCACAAACATACGAACTGTGTGCAGAGACAAAACGCAAACATCTTCAGATTCACTTCTTGTGAAATATACTCGTACCTAGAAAATATAGAATTTCTTTCCATCAAAAGACTGAGGTAAAAAGGAAATGTCTTGTGATCAGATATGGATAAATCATGCTACAACTGTTTAGCTGACACAGCGCTTACATGTTTCTGCTTCCTGATACCGCTTGTAACTAGTAATTCCTTTCCTCAAGAACTGAAAGCGAGAGAATGCATCACTTTTTCCTTTTTTGTTGACAATTTGGTCATGCTTTAAAAAAAAAGAAAAACAAAAGAAAAGGATGTCTCACCTTTTAAGGTCTAGATGGAAACACACGCTTCCAGGTCTTGAGAACACCAGAATAATAAAAATGCTGTTTAAATGAATCAAAACTCAACCAGGCCCCTTCCTTAAAAACACGCTGGGGTTTGTAACAGACAACAGAGAAAAATAAAAAATTACTAAAAAAAACCCCTCTTCAACACCATGTGCAACAATAGGTCATACTACCACTTCCTGTTCCTCATTAAAAAGGGACTAATTCATTTTGCATGTTGCTTTTCACATTCAAATTCAAACAAGGAGAGAGAATCGAAACTAAAAGTTAAAACAAAATCAATGAGGATGTGATCTTAGTACTTCATTGCAGCTCGTGAAGGTGTCTGCATAATTTGCCTGTGTGTAGATCGGTGCCAGCAGCACCAGGGGGCATGGCAAAAAACGACCTCTTTTCAGCCGTGTGGAATGAAGGAACGAGGCGATTGTTAGGAGCACAGGATGGCCTCAGTTCCACCTTATAACTCTCATCAGAGTGCAAATATCCCAAAGCCGTGGAAACCTGATGGGGGTCCTGGCTAAAAGTCAGCAAACTCTTTTGCACACTTTTCTGTTTGTGAGACGCGAATGTCCTCCTCTTCGTAGTCGTCGAAGTTGCTCGTGTCTCCAGGTCCTCTGCACTTCGGCAAGAAGGGAGCTTCAACCTGAAAAAGTACAAATGCTTAATTTCAAGACAAAATCTCTCAGCATGGATTAAGAAAGTAGACAAGGTCTTACAAAAAATAAATACCTTTCGCTCATAGATGGCTATCCAGTCTGTTGTGGAGAACCACTTATGGTTTTTTATGTCATTTACGCCGTTCTTCAGGTTGCCAAATCGCTTCGTAAGATCGACCTGGAGCAGGTTCCTCAGCAGGTCCTTCAGGTCGGAGCTAAAGTGAGAGGGAAATCGTACCTACAAGGAAGGAAGCAACGCATTCAGAACAACAGTGATAAATTATAGAAAATGAGATGTGTCCTCCTCCTACCAAGAGCCAGAAGGGCTAGAATCCAACAAAATAGCAAACATTCAATAAATATTTACTCCTTATTCAGGTTCAGTGTTTTTGACAAAGTTATCCAGAATAAAAACAGCAAAAAACTGTTTTAAAATGATCATGACTGAATGATTTAATTTATTAGGAAAAAATGTGATCCAAATGATCCAAACCTATGACTGGTTGTTGCCACGGGTGGGAGCAACAACTGCTTTAACAGTCTTCAACAGTGCTGTGCTGAAATTGTGGTCTTGCCATATATCAGTTGAATTTAATTGTGAACTTTGACGAGGCCACTTTTTGGTTTGCATTGCTTTTTACCCTTACTAAATGAAACAGATTTTTCTATTTATCCAGACTTCTTTGTCGTGTATTAAAACATTATTGATCACTTGAAACATTTAATTGTGAGAACAGAACCAAAAACTTCAGAAATCTGTAAAGGGACAAAAACTTATTTCACAACAGGGTTTATTTATATTATTAGGAGTACTGTTAAAACGTTATTGTCCCCCTATGTCACTATGATACATCATACATTGTGTTTGATTGGTTTACCTGCACAGAAGTTCAACCTCAGGCCAATTACCTTGTCTACAGCAATGTTAGCCCCGCCCCCTGGCTTTGATTAGTAAAACAGATTAAACATATTCATGCTTTACAGAAATATAAAGTAACACCGAACTGAATATTCATATATGCTATCATCTTACAAAAAAACCCCAATACATTTTAATAAATAATTTTCACATTCATCATTTTAAAGATATATCTTGTATATTATGTGAACTAAAGCATCCAATAGAAGACCCATATGAGAGAAAGTGCTTTAAGTATTCAAATTTGAAAATCTTCTCTTACCTTGCCAGACACAATCTTTTCATAGATCTGTATTGGCTGGTCAGCAAAAAATGGAGGGTAGCCAGCAGCCATCTCATAGATGAGAACTCCCAGTGCCCACCAGTCAACAGCTTTGTTGTAGCCCTGGACAAATAAAAAATAAAATAAAAAAGAAATCAATTTTTACTTTTTAGCTTAAATTTGGAAAAGCTAAATACCAGGTCTACAAAAAAATGTGGACTTTTTTAAATTTAATCCAATAATAATTCAAATATTCCATCAGTATTTTATTGGATTCAAAAGGTCGAAATGAGATCTCAGCTTATTCATGTCCTTTAGGTTTGTGGGGCGCAAAGTATTATAACCTGCATTGTTTGCAGTTGCTGTGCAGCCATTAAAACACCTAGAGTCACTTGGTACAACCCTGGTGATAATGCACTATGTCAGCACAGCAGTCAGCTTCAATTCCTGCTTGCATCAAAGGCTTCTGTCTTCCAGTCTTGTGTCTGAGTCAAGAGAAATAAATTCTCACCCAGACAAGTCACTCAAGCCTTCAAAGTCAATTTGCTGTTTGAAAAAAAAAAAAAAGATTAACCTGATCTCACAAATCATCATCAGCTTGCTTTTTAATCCCACTTAACACAAACAGAAAAATATCTGTCATAAATTTGAAGTTATGTCAAAGCAAACTTTCCAATAATCCAACTAAACTACATTATTAGATGTCATTCTTTCAAATCCCAATATTTATCCACATCATGCAGCGTTTTGCTCTCTTTACATGTTAGTCTTTGGTGAATAGTAATCCATGTTAAATGATGAGTAAATCTCATTAAGATTTATGAACAAGATATAGCTAACTGCTTATTGAACAATATCCTTGAAAAAAAAACAAAAAAATAACAGCAGCACTAATACAACTTATGATAATAAAGAGTTTGTTTATGTTTCTTTTTCATACCCAGAAATGAAAGAAACAAAACCTGCCAGGTGTGAGAACTTTAACACCACTTTCAGATACTCTCTATATAAATCTTTAGCCTCTTACTGTACAATATGTAAATTTTTTGTGTATTTTTTTTTTTATCACTTCTGTAAATCTCAATGATCAATTACAATTGATTCTTGCCCAAGTAGTTTGTTTGGTGCGGATGAAACACTGGGTTAAGTACGAGTTTAGTTGCCTTCATTAACCTTGCTGAGGATGATCTCTGGAGCCAGGTACTCAGGAGTTCCACACAATGTCCAAGTTCTGCCTTTTACCCGTTTGGCAAAGCCAAAGTCTGTGACCTAGCCAAAAGATGACAGCCGTGTGAAAATATGTCAATCGGTTTTCAGTTTTTTCTGCTCTCCTAACTTTGTTTTTCCAACAATAAAGCTGAGATGAACCAGTTACCTGGATGTATCCATGTTGATCTATGAGCAGGTTTTCTGGCTTTAGGTCTCTGTAGATGAGGTCTAAGGAGTGAAGGTACTCAAAAGTGAGCACGATCTGAGCTGCATAAAATCTTGCATGATGTTCACTGAAAGAGGGAAACAAAGAATTAGACACACTGTAGCAAGGCATGTCTCTTCTGAGAGAAATGGGTAAATAGATCGATGAATAAATCAAAAAAACAACCCTACTTCCCCCCAAAAATGTGCATTATACCTGAACCTTCCTGTGCGTCTGAGGTGTGAGAACATTTCTCCACCGGGCACATATTCCATCACCATGTAGAGGTTTGAGTTATCCTGAGATATATATTCAAATAGAGTTACTTCCCATATAATAACATTTACTTTTCAAATTAAAGGGCATCCTTATATAAATAACGATGCAATATGATCGATGTATTTTTAGTTTTCAACTGCTAAAAATTAATAAGCAAACTCCAACTCAGACACATGCCCCAGACTTTCTTCCTGGAAATGACGGTAAACATACACCAAAAATATTTTAGCGGTTGCATTTTCTGCTATCAACAAGTACGGCAGGACCTTGCAGTCGTGTAAGGAAATAACAGAAGCACAATCTTTTCAATCAGGTAAAGCAGGACAGGTTGTAATTGTGAGACTGTTGAGAGAAACTGATCCTCTGAGCCTCTGAGCTGTAAATGTTAAGCAGAAGAAGTAATGTTTCTTTTTTGTTTCACAAAACCACATGGGTAATGTCATCCTAAAGCCAAATGAGAAACTGAATCAAATTACAATTTTTGCCTTTGCTAATAAATTCTGACCTCAGACAAATTCTGACCAAAATCACTTTATTTCCTTGAAATTATGTAAGGGTTCATTGCCTTGTAAGAGCTGATTTTCAGGACAAAGTTTAATTTTTAATAGTTGACAACGACATTCACAGAAATAAACTGAGAAAGTTTTCAAAATGACACAGAAAACCCTGCAGAAGGGTTTGGATCCATCAGTACCTTGAAAGCGTATTCCAATCTGACAAGGAAAGGGAAGGAGACAGCCTGTAGTATTCTTTTCTCATTTAGTGTGTGCTCTATCTGCTTCAACTTCACCACCTGAAAACATAAAGAAACAAATTAGATCAAAATGTTTTCCTTATTTTCTAAGTCGTTTACTGGTCTGTCAGACATTGTTGTATGTCAGCACACAGATTGTGGGACAGCAGCAAAGTTACCACCAAACTAATAATAGTTCACAAATATAGCTTTGCAACACTTTTGAGCTAGAGAGCTCAAAAGTGTTGCAAAGCTTTCATGACAGAGATTGTAAACATATGTTTGCAAAATAACAGCACACTATGTGGTGAACAGATGTCTAGATAAGTTTTTAATAGCATAAAACACTATTTAAAAAAGCGCCTTTTTTAAATGTTTTTGTAAAATTTGACAAGTAGAATGCAAAATATGTTGCATCAGGTTTATTTTAAAAAAAATATGAAAAGATTTATGATCTTTAAAAGATTTATGGTACATATTTGTATCCCTCCTCTCTGGTAAAATAGAGGAATCATCTAAAATTTTGATTCTAAATGAACTCCAAAAGCCTAAAGAAGTCAAATAATAGTAAACAATGTATGACTTTGCGTTCTTTAACTTTGGGTTTTTCCTCACCCTAGTGAACAAGCAGCATGAAGAAAAACAAAGAACACAGTAAACAGGTCAGGGATAAAGTTGTGAAGAAATTAAAAGCACGGTCAGGTTATATTCCAAAATTAATCAAAGCTTTGACACGCCACATCTTCGTCATCTGAAAATCTAAAGAGAACGATACAAACTAAAAAACTAAGTATTACGAAATAGATGTCTACCTAAATTGAGCAATGTGAAAAGGCATCAAAGAGGCTCATGGTAACTCTGCAGAGCACCAGTGATCAAGTGTGAGAATGTGTAGATAGGACAACTAGCGCTGAAGAATTGCATAAATACAGGAGTTGGAAGAAGAAAGCCATTGTTAAAAGAAAGCAGATGCAAATATGAGGAACATGAGACCAAAGTTTCACTTTTTAGTTGACATGCATACAAAAGTCGACACAGTACTTCGTGTGGCAAAAAACCATAACTGCAAATAGTACTAAACACACCACCCCCCATGTGAAACATGCTGGTGGTAGCATCATGCTAACTTAACTGGACAGTGGATGGAGACAAATACTGATTGCAATCAGAATTTGATTGCCTCGCTGGACAATCAAATACTGTCCAGTATCAAACAAATACTGATGCCCAATCATCTCATTTTATGATGAGATGAAAGGGCAGATCATCATCTGAAGTCGCACGTTGTGTACAAAATAGAGTCAAAAGCTGAAAGAAGGTCGTACAGCTAGCAAGTTGCCATATTTATAGAGGAGGATGTAAAATTTGTAATAGCAGAACTAATAGCACGACTTGCAGGACAAAAGGTTCAGAATCACTAGTGAAAGCTAGGAGCTAAATATACTATTAAACTGTAACACATCCGGTAAAAAGTATCTGTCTAATAACTTCTTATATTAGACAGAACAAGTTAATGAGGAAATACTGTTTAAAGGAAAATTTTGAAGCCGTTTTGTTGAAGTGAAATTTAAAGTGAGCCAGGTTAACCTCTTAAATCAACAGCCAAATTCAGGTGAACAGAGCAACGCTAGAAGAGCAACACCGCCTGTCTGTACCACTTCCACATCAGTATTTAAAGATCGAAACTCTCATACGAAGGGCCTTTGGGGTTTTCAGTGATAATGTACCAGCAGCACATAAAAGGAAGCACTCCATTTCCTTTCATCAGATATATAGCGCCTGCGTTTACATGAAGAATTTCTGCTGTTTTTTTCCCCCTATATACAAGCAAGCCTTTACGGCAGTAGTAGTTAATATGGTTTAAGGGTGTTGTGATGGACATATCTTAACAATGTGCACTTACTTTTTGCTTGTCCAAGATCTTCATGGCGTAGAACTGGTTTGTTCCTTTATGCCTCACAAGCATCACACGTCCAAATGAGCCAGTGCCCAGAGTCTTGAACCTTTCAAACTCATCCAGGGTTGTTGTACACTGTCAAAATATGTTGTAATAAAAACAAGGAAGTAAGTTGAAGCAGCTATACTTGTACTGTTCTGCCAGATCTTTCATATAGCTCAAGCTGGAAATATATTAGCTGGATGGAAACATTTTTCGTCAAAGTGGCTGCTGTTTGCAAGAAGTTGTAGAAATACCCAATGAGTTAGTATTCCAGATATTTTTAATTAAATGAAGATAAAAAAAACGCATGTGCTTTTTTTCAAAATCATAGACAAACAAATTAAATGTAAATAATAAAAAGGACTTTACCTGTGCGGGACACTCCCATTTTCTTAAAAAATCTTCTTTGGCTTTTGCTAAGAACTCTTTCACTAAAAATAAACAAGAAAAAGTGTTTTAAATCGAAGTAATTCGGATTTCAGGACATACCAATACAAAATCTAATTTTACATTCAGGGGAAAAAAAAAAGCCAGTTTACACCTTCAGGGGAACAAAAGCATTCTGAGGTCAGGCAAATGTCACTTATTAGGGAGTGAGGACTGTATTTAAAACAATATCAACAAAAAAAAAGTATTCCAAGTCAAAACCACACGCCTCAGCAGGAAAGTTTAAATAACAAAGTGATGCAAAGAGCTCCGTGAACTTTACAGATCTGGCCAAATTTGAGACAAGCTGTTCTGCATCTCTTTCAAGAGTGGTTGCGATAAAGGAGAGAGACAATAACACAGTCGGCAGACAAAAAGACAAGAGGTACAACATACATGTAACTGAGAACACAGAGCAGGCATGGTGAGGACAGTGCACTGTCAAAGTCACGGCTGACATGAGGTGTCCAAAGTCACAGAGTCCTTGAAAGTTTACTTAGTCATTATATTCTTCCCATTGATCATGTAAAGGGTAAGCAAATCCTAAATTTTCAAAAAATGTATCTGTTTTTAAATTAAAAGCATCATAGAGGTGACATTTTTCAATTATATTTGGAATGTGTTAAATAGGACAGCCCCCCGTTTTTATTCTTTGTCACACTTGAATATTTCAGATCATTCAACAACTTTTAATATCAAACAAAGGTAACCTGAGTAAAACCTAAAAGCAATTTTAAAATAATGCTTTTATTTATAGGACAATAAAATAGGTCATATTAAAAAGAATTATCTCTCCCACAATGTTACAGCACAAACTGACAGTGATTACCCACATTATTTTAATCAGTTTCACTAGTCACACTTATCTGATGACTGCTTGACATGTAAAATTGAGAAATTACTTAGAACTTAGCAAACCACATGAAGTAGGCTAAAAGTTCTCGAAAAGCAACACACAATGCCAGATGAGTACAGATGAACAGACATCTGTCACTTCTAAGCTTTTGGACAGCAGCAAGTCAAGGTAAGTGTCATTTCCAACACAAGGAGAATATATGGAAAACCTGATGAACCTTCTTAGGAGTGCTGCCTGCCCTACCAAAATTACTCCAAAAATAAATGAAAGGCTCGTCCAGGAGGTTACAAGAGAAACCAGAAGAACATTTAGAGCATTAAGTGTTTCATTAATAAACACTTAAGATCAGTGTTCATGATCTAACAATGGAGTATGTCCAGAGAACAATGTGTAACTTTAATCTCAGCTGTACTTGGATTACGCAGGACTAGTCCATCTGAAGACCACCACTTGACTCGTTCAAACAGAGTTGTCTAGTCAAAGTCTGGAATTAAACCCAATTGCTGTGACCTGGCAGAAAATAGACTGTTCATGTGCAAAAACACTACAGTGCGGCTTAATTATAACTATTTTGCAAAGAATAGAGGGTCAAAATTCACCCATCGCGATTCAACAGAATCGTCTCCAGTTATCACAAATGCCATATGGCAGTGTTTCCCCACAAATTTGGTCCAACTAACCAAAATTCAAATGGGGTCAGGTCAGTTTGGTTTAGCATTCATTTCATTAATAAACAAAAAACACTGTAATTTCTCAGGATACATTTGTCTGGCATTAATATTTCGCTGATGATCTGAAATGTGAAATTCCCTGAGAGATTAAGAACTTTTATTGTATAATAAGAGTTTAAAAAAATTTGACAAAAATTGTAAATTTTAATATTGGATTTGCTGTTTACCAATTTCATTTACACAAAACATTTTTTACATAGTCAACTAGTTTTTGCATTTGTTTTTGCAAGTTCTAGAACTGGGATAGGGCTATTCAAGTCCTGTGAGTTGAAAGTGCATAATAAATATTCTCTCTGTGACTTGGGATGTCTCATGGAACAATGAGCGTACCAAAAGTCTCTACAGTTCGCCAGGATTGCAGGAACATTCACCCATATGGATGGAAATGATGGAGAAGAAAAGAGAGGAAGAACAGTTTATGAAGAGCTGAAAACAACAACATTTCAGAACCACATGTAGAAAAAACAAACACTGGAGACAATGTAAGGCATCCGTATCACTGTGCAAATATGTAACCAAAATAAGCGCTATACTTCTATTTGCTGACTACTAATAGAAATTCCAGTTTACCACAAAAGATAAAGAACTAAAGACATTATTCCTGCAGGAATAATTTGGTTTTCCAAATCCTTTTATTTTTAAGTAGGTATTAGGAAATCAAATAAAATAGTCAAACTGCAATAAAAATGTAAATAATAATTAACCTAGGTTTTTCTCAATTTTCTTGTTATTGTGTACCTCTTCTTAAGCTACATTTAAATAAATTTATTTTAGACTTTTACTCAGTAGTATTTCTTTTTTATCTGTTCTGACTATATGGGTCAGTTTTATTTTTCACAAAAACAAAAAGAAGACACCAATTGTGAAATCCAATGAAAAAGCACATTTAAAACTAAACAGTGCACAAAAAAGACAAGACACAGACATTAAGATGTCAGCTTATATTACATGACTAAAGCGCCACAAACAGATTAGAATACAATGCTTAAAATAACTGTTAATTTTCTGGTAGGTAAAAAGTGATGATATGAATATGAAAAAATAACAGAAAAGAGAAACTATTTGGGGAACATACTGGAAAAAACCCTACAAAAGTTTAACTTAAGGCTTAAATTTGGTAATAACACTAACATTAAAGAAAATAATATTTTTAAACACAATACTTGAACTGTTATGTTTAGGAGCCCAAGCCAGTGGCCTGATGGAAAAGATGTTACAAGGGAAAATATCTGTGTTTCTATCTGTTTTTTTTTTTTTTGAAGAAACAACAACCCACCCTGCTCAGAGCTCAAGATTAGAGAAAAAGAAATCCACTGCACTTACTCAATTTATCCCACATGACGGTGAACTCAGAGATCAGAGGCACCTCACTCTCCTGTCCCTTGTTTTCTTGTCCACTCTTAAGATATTTGTTGATTAAGCGACTGGCAAAGGAGTGATCCTTTCCCTGTGCCATTTTAAGGCAAATATCTCGATGTGCGAGTAAGAAAAGCTCTCAGGCAAAGAAACCGTTTGCAGGCTTAACCCCAGTGATACTAACTTCCTGTATGCAGTCAAGTGCTCTGCAATGGCTGGTTAACCACACAAAGTTGAGCTTCCTGTTCACGTCCTCTGCTACAGTGGCCAAATACATGTCCACCGTCGTCATGGTGCTGTTTGAAAGCACTTTGCTGCATCTTATAGGCAAATTGTTATATATTTTTTTTTTGACAGGAAAAATTTTAAAAGAGCCTAGAAGGCCTGACTTCAAATGTCATATCAAAAATATAGTGCAACCATGGCAAGCCAAGACTGCAGATAAGAAAGCTGTTACACCCACACAGTAGTAGAAAGAGCCATAGCGTTTAGGACAGTGTGCTCTCTGGTGGATATGTTTCATACTGCAGATCTTCAGTTTTCTACTAACTATAACCATCGCCACTAATAATAATAATAAATGGGAAAATAACAGATTGAATGGTTAGAATGAACATAGAACTCTAAGTTATGGTCTTGATCTTGCTTGTGCTTTCCGTTGAATCTTGTTTCAACCGCAGGTAGCCCAGGTCTCAAGTTTGTTGGACAGCGTAAACTAATGCCAATCAAAAAGCAGGTCAAGATCAGGGCTCTGCATACAGGCCACTGCTATGACACAGTTGGGTGGATTAGGCTGGCTGCTCACAACAACAACATGCTCATGACGGCGTCCTCCAAGGAATCTATGGATGAGCTACATTGTAGAATAGCTGTGCACAAAATGCATTTTGACCAGAAAGAAAAAGTTTTATTAGATATGTTGAGAAATAAAAAAAAAAAAGTTTCATGTTGTAACAAATCAATTTATTTGTAAAATTTTCATGATGTCAAGAGAATTTGAATTTCAAAATAATGGAAAATTAATGCATGTGATGGAAAAAGGATTCCACACATATAAAATAAGCTGATTTTAGTTTTATTGAAAACATAGTCTAACACTTTTAGGTTGTTCTAAATCCTATGTAGAATTGGGAAATTATTGCACTGGAGATAATTATTGTGGAACAAGAATTGGTATGATAACAAATTAATCATTATGTGACCTGATGACCTTTGCAAAACTCCAAAACTAACAGCTTAATTGTTGCTTTTGCTACTGAAACCACTGTTGATTCCATATCTGCACGAATGTCTGCAAAATGTGACTGAATGCAATTACAGTGCAATGTTTGGCAGCGCACTTACTCTATGCATCTGTTTTACTTAGACATTTTTAGCCAAAAGTCCATGATAAATCCATAAGTACTTTATATCTTCACTTTTATCATTATTGCAACAAATGCCACAAAATGTCATGCTAACTTTCAAGCCAATATCACCCTAATACAGCTGTTTATCAGTATTAAACAGATATGGGTAGCAGAATACGTTTCATACTGGGTTAATAGCACAGTAAGAACGTCACTTTCCTTGCTATTTAAATTAACAGCTAGTAACATTTGTGAATATTTAGATATGACAGATCTTGTTTAATAAATATGTTGAAGTACTAACTGTAAAAAGGATTAGTCAAACCAAATGCATAAACTCTAATGGTGGTCATTTTCAGCTGACTCCAGGCCACGTCCTGCAGCTTGTTTGGTGATGTTATCTTGCTTTCAGGCACGTGATGTGAGCCCAAAGTTAAACAGAGCGTCTTGAAGGCTCATCTTAAATACAACAACATAAAAAAAACAATCTATTTATTTAATTAGTGGGGTGCTCTTTGACATTCACGGCTTCTGTAAAAACCCCACAGTAGCCTGATGATGACCGCGCTGACAAATATTGAATTACTCGCTGCGTTTAGTATTTGTCACACAGTTTCCAGCTAAAAACATCAGCAGCTTGACGTTGTTACGAACACTGCGAACTCGCGTTGTATTGTAGAACTGTCCTACCAAAGATGGTTCTTCTGTGCGGCTCGTGTTACTGTACTGTCTGCTCCAGTGCTGTACAACTGCTAAAGGATGCTACCCACTGAATTCCTAAAAGCAAGCTCGCAAATGATGATACAGCAAACGTTAAACGTCTGAAAGCAAACAGGATGACGTCCATGTGCTCACCGCTTTCCTGCTCGTTTCCTTTCTTGGCAGTTGCTGCGTTTCCCATCGTAGGAAGACAGGGCGATCCACAGCTGGCGAGGAGCGATGATGGTGGCCGTTAGCTAACAGGCTCCTTCGTTAGCTCGATAACAAATTTCAGCTTGCTCACACTGGCCGGTTTACAAACACCATCAACGTGCTCTTCTTTTGAACAGAACCTGGTTGTGCTCGGCTGGCCGACTTGATGATGTTTATTTACCGTGTCCTTTTTTGCCGTTCACGTATGCCTCTGCTGGAATGACAACATGATCCAGACTTTTCACCTCTGCCTCCTGTCGTCCTGCGCTGCGTTCAAGTCATATGGGAATACCCAGAGATGCTCTTGATAGGTGGAATGCTGCCTTCACTGACCATTCGGGGGGGGAAAAAACAACAACACGCTTAGACATTGAAAGTTAATTTAGTCAGGAGTGTGAAGAATTCAAATAAATGACAACGGTTCTGTATGTCAGTAATTGTCGTGAAAATTGGAATAGTGTTATGTGTGATAATTATAATATAATATAATATAATATAATATAATATAATATAATATAATATTCATGTGTTTAACATTTTACTAGTTGGTCATTTTTGAAAATATAATCTCCAATCAAATAAAAATCCCCCTTTCATTATAAAATGTTATTGGTGTATAGTAAAAACTACCCAGTGTGTAATGCCATTTCCATTTTTTTCCTACAATTTGTCAATGTGATAGCAGTCACACATTATATTGTGAGTGCCAAGTGAATTTAAGGTCATATTTATATAACAGTACCACTGTTAATAAATTACTAATCACTACTAAAAACAAGTTGGAAAGCACTTGTTTTCTCACTTTCCTGTTTTCAATAAGATATCAACTAAATATGTGTTGCTAGGGCTCTGTCCGGCTTTCCTTTTTAAGTAGAGGACATACTTAATATAAGCTGGCTGATCAAAGTACAGTTGCCATTTTAGTCTTGTATATGTATATGGTGCTACATCAAATGTACTTTTTCTCCTGTTTAGTTTAATGCTGCTTTGTTTTTGTATTTAACAATAAAGAAAGATTCAAAAATTTATGTAAAATCTTCCTACTGCATTTGCATTTATATTTAATCTACTCTGAATTGCTTTGTCTTGTGCAGTTTAAATGTGGATTCAAATGTTCTATAGTGTGTGTAAACAATACTTCTGGAATCACAAAGGAACACTTTAGACTGTTGTACGTATATTTTCTTTATGTTAATCACTTAATTAAAACAAGCAAACAATTACAAAGTACATATAGATAAATAATTTATAGAAAAAATGGATAATAATAATAATAATAATAATAATAATAATAATAATAATAATAACACTTCACATGTTACAAGTATTTTTGTACTATTTGTATTGTCTGCTTACTTATTGAAGTGCAAGTAAGTATAACCACCTTCTCTGCTGCAAACAGTAAAATTTGGCTCCCAGGCGACATCAAGGCTACACTATTGCAAACACAACAGGGATCAATGGATTTGTAACACTATGAATGGTACTTTTGGTAAAAATGATTAACTTTTTAAACTGTTAAAGGTTTGTTAAAAATTCCACTACTAACAATCTTTGTCTGAACATGTCACGTACCTCATAAAAATATATGTTTCAAAAACAAATATACATGAAAACGAATTGACAAAAGTCACTCTGCAGATGTATTGAGAAGAGAAACATTATGGGTCAATAGCAGAGATGGAATCCACAATGAGTATTACAGCTAGGTCACACATTTAGCAACTGTACACAAGAAACCACAATCTAACTGTAGGAGAGTTCAGAAACATTTTAATGAGCTAAATGACACCTTGATAAACTCTGGAGGAGACGCGCCCATTAGCGGGACGGGATGTTTTTAGCACCATGGCCAGCGACAGCGTTGCTAGGCAGCTGTTTGTGTCAGCAAATGGTGAAGGAGGAGCTGCAGGTCGACTTGGCGTTAAACAGAAGCCTCGAGAAGCAGACGAGTCTCTCCTTTTCTTTGAAATAGTCATTGATCTACTATAACGCGGCGGTTTGACCCAAGAGGACCACAGTGCGGTAAGTGTCTGATTTTGCCATACTGCGAACGCAAACTTCAGCGGTTCATCCACGAACCTCTCCCCCTCCACCCCTCTCACAAAGCGCTATTGGTTCCGCCCGGGGACTCGCTCCAGCACTCACAGCAGACAACCGGACTGCAATACACTGGTTTTATTTTATAATGTTTCAGTCAACGTCGTTTATTAGCTATAACGGCATTAGACACCACAAGCACTGAGTAGTCCTGGAAACACGGTTGGAAGTAGATGCATTCACCAAGGAGGCCTCAGTGTCTCTAAATGGCAGCTGTGTAATCGGAGTGGGACGAGGAGAAGAGCTGTGCTGCTGGAATAAGACATACGGTAACGTTAACTGTTGTTTCATCTGAGCAGACGTTGCTAAGCTAACTGTAGAGCAGCCCGGTGTCATTCATAATTACTTATTATACGGTGTCCCATCTGGGAGAAAATGCTGATTAAATGGTTGTAGAAGCATTTGAATTAAAACACCGTAGTTTGTTGTCATTCGCCAACATTAAGCTGTTGTACACTGGAGGTTAACAGGATGCCAGATCTGCTTCCCTGTTTGCTTTTTTACCCACCTGACCTATGCAACTAGCTAGCATCCTGTCTTTAGCAAGCCACTGCTAGCAGCTTATTCATAGCAGCATTACACCTGCGTCGGTAGTGGGAGACTTGATTGGTGAGCTCAAGAAAAGCCCCCATTGTTAAAGCCTTGCATGCCAGATTAAAGAATTTTATGTTGTGCTTGGATTAATAAAAAAAAGCAAGACATCTAAGGAAGGGGGGGTGGCCTATAATCCTTCCAGTGATCTGGAAGATACCATATTGGCTTCTTGCTGAGACAGGCATGATACAGTACAGGTCCCCCCACTGGTCTTTGCAGCATAAGCCCACTTAATAAATTTGCCTTTAACTCAAGCCTTTTTTTTTTTGCTTATGTTCAGCGAGACAATAAGCGCCCAGAGCCTGTCTAATTACATGAGAAATCTTGTGGTTCAAGATTTGATTTATTTAGTCCTGCTTGTGGTATAGTTTTCACTTTACACACCACATACTGGCAGAGCATCCTCTGGATGGCCAGCACTGACAGAGCAGATGGATTATATAAGAGTTTAGCGTGATTTCTGGATGGCATCCTAATTCCTGGCCTTCTTGCAGCGACACATTGTAATATGAATAGAAAATGTAAAATCAGTTTTTTCCCTCTCATTCATATCTTGGGGTCAGATTACTTATTGATCTCAGATTATTAACAATGCAGTTAATTTAAGGGCGGTCTAAGATCATATTTGTATTATCATTGGATAGATTCTAATATTTGAGGTAACGCCTTCATAGTTAATATCTATTTTCTAGGGTTGCACAATTTTAGGAAACATTAAATTGATATATTAATATTGAGATGACAATATTGACTCTGATTAATCCACATTTTTCTCAGTACTTTCTTTGTTGTGCATCATCAGATGCTGCCCCTGAACATTCTGATCTAGGTCATGAAGATCTGTCTTAGATATGTGAATAAAGGACAGTGAAAACTTACCCCAGTTTTAAGAAATATTATTATGAAGCATAGTTTAATGTAATGACACTTGAAGCTCTGTGTAACACCAAATATTGCACCAAAGTGCTGCTTTGTGATTGTTTGTAGTGATGTTGAATTGAATTGATATTGCATTGCTAATCAGTCAAAAATTTTGAGAAGCAGTTTTCATTTCATAAAATGTATTTGTTGTCAATTTATCTGATTAGTCAACTTCAGCAAAAATGTACAATTACTCACTAAATAACTTTATGGTATAATAAACTGCAAAGTTTATTTTACCATTTTGCTGTTTATAGTTCTCTATAGAGTGTAACAGGATGGTATTTGTCAGGCTATCTGCTGTGCTGCTTTTAACATCATCACTGTTACCTTAAAATGAGTGGTGAGTGATGTGCCTTGAGTTTAGGTTTTTCACAAATGACAATTTTCAAAATAGCTGAATTTCTCATTATTTTGCTATATTCTAAGAATGCAGACATTTTTCAGTGAGCTCAGCAGACAGTGTGATACAGCCAGATAAAACTAAAGTCTTAAGTTTATGCTTTATTCTGATCCGTTTTCTATGCCTTAGTTTCATTTCCCGTCTTTGGTTCAAACTATTTACCCTCTCATTGTTAGTCCTCACTTCCATCAGTTTTTACAAACTACCATCATTCTCTTTTTCCAGCCCACAGGGCCATCCTGATGTTCTAAAAAAATTACCCCATATTAAGCTTTATTACAAGCTATTAAAATGTATGCTACATTCTCGTGGTATTACAATTTTCAGTAAAATGTCTACCACTGTTTACTAGCATTTATTGTGCAGCATCTTTCCAATTTGTGTCCTGCTGCATCCCTCTTTGCTTTAGCTCTAAGCTTAGATATATGGATATCGATTGATTGTGGCTAATAGAAACGCTCATCCGATTTGTAAGAAAATGGTTGACTTCTAAATGTTTTTAAAATTATGAAATGTTAAAAGCATCACTTCAGATGAAACAGTGCATGGTGTGGTAGTGCTTTTCAGTAGCCTGTGGGTTGATAGCTCCCACACTCGTTCCTCCTCTTCGCTGGAAGGAGCCTCAAAACCAGAGTTGGTTACTGTTCACAGGTACATTTAGGTCCACAATCAATTCCAAACAACTCTCTTTGCTGCTGCTTTTATTCAGATAATAATTTATTTATTCTTGCATTTATTTATTTATATTTGGTGTAACCTGACATCACTCTCCATGACACTTAATGTATCAAATATCCAGGTATGTTGTGTTTGTCACTAAAATGTTTTTTGTCATTTATATCTATATAGAGAGTGAGTTTTTCTTATACTTACTTCTTAAAGATGCTGCTTTAATACAGCTTAATTTTGTTTTAATGCAACATATAAATTGAATTTGTATGTTGCATACACTAACCCTAGAGACTTGGGCATACATCTGGGCATACAGTTCAGACAGAGAGGATCCTGTATTTATACACCCTGCACATTCAGCGCAAAATGAGGCAGTGCAATGTTTCCTTTAGCCTTTTGATTGTGGGTCTGATGACTGCTTTCAATATATAACACAGCAAGGAGATAAAACAAGGCCCCTCAAAGAGGGACAGCTTTTGTTAAAATGACATGTGTAATAGGTGTGACACAAGTAGTCATGCAGAAAGAGCACACGTTACAAATTTTTTGCTTTGATGCAATTTTTACACAACTGTTATAAGATATCTTGCAAATTTGCCCTTCAGTAAAAAATAAATTTAATCGGAAGTGCTTTTTTGCTTTTTTCCTCATAATTCAATAGTGCCCAGGCGAATATATTTAATCTATTGTTTAGTTTTAGTGAATATTTCTAATGTTTAATTTCTATAGATTGGGACAATACATAATAACAATTGGTGATGAACGTTTGTCTGAACATTTTATTGCAGCTTCTTTGCAAACAAACCAGCATTTGTTGTTCTTTTAAAGCCAGAAGAACAGAAAGGGGTGGAGAAAAGCAACACAAAGAGCTGACTCTTCACAAAGAAGCCTTTCTGTGTGTTGTGTGGCAGGAGCACACTGCATGAGCTAAGAATTAATAGCAGCTCTGCACGCTTGACTTTGCTATGATGGCCTTTTGGCTCCCTCTGTTGGTCAAATATTTGTATTGCATTAGTGGATTTCTTTGACGCCACAAAAATTTATGTGGGTAAAGGAAAAGAAAAGATGAATAATTTTACAGAAATGTGGAGTCAGTGAGGTTGAAATTGTGATTTTATGACTCACTAGTATGTACAATGTATATATTGAAATCCAACAAACAGAAAATGCATTACAAACATCCTTCAGCATAGTTCAGCATGATAGAAATGTTAATTAGAAGTTTTCATAATCTGCTTTATTCTGATTGTAGTTCAACAAATTTTAACTGCGATCAAATTTTCTTTTTATTTTTTGTCTATTAAAGTGCCTGAACTTTAATTGAACACTGGAATTACACATTTAAGATGGGACACAGATTTAGGAGATCCACAGTGAATCACAGTGTCTGTAAAGATACTTGAAAAGTGAGTTTACCTGTTGGAAACTTTCGTTTATTGATTTTTCTATTTAAATGGATGACATTATATATTTTCCAGGCACATAGTGCCATATTATTGCACAAGCAAATAACTATGTTACTTTCAGTTATAAAAATGGCATATGTTTCAAATATAACTTAAAATTGAGTCTCTGTCTCCTTAAGAAACTCCTTCTCTTTCTGCCTTCATGATTGTAATATTGTGCTCCTCCATTATGCCATTTGCAACCGTTCTAGCGTTGAACTGAAAAATATTTTATATTATGAGCTCTGCAGACTTGCAGTTTTTCAGCTATTTTGCTAATTGCTCTTGCTGCTAGTCTGGAGGAGCAGAGTGGGGGTGTCGCAGAGGAGGGTTACTCTGTAAGATGGAAGCTTGGCCGCAGACTGGAGCGTCAAGCAGAAAGTTTGTGGAAATAGGCGATGCTTTGTGAGGGCAAGCATTTAGGCACTCCCGAAAGGTTGCCATGGGAGATCAAAGTATGCTTGAAAGAATCAAAGCAATGTTCCAGGTGTGTTTTCGATGAGGGACTAAAATCATAACATAATAACATAATTTAAAGCTCAATAAAGTTTTCCATAATACCCTGTTTTAAAGGTGAGAATATGAAACAAAGTTTTTGGCTGTTTATGTAATAATCAAAAATAACTATATCAAAATGCCAGTGGTAAGTTTTTTTTTTCTTCTTTCATATGCAACGTTTTCGTGTCAGATTTTCAGCTTTGTTTAGAGACAGAGGTCTTATGTAGGCAGCGTTCCCTGCATCCTTCACAGAGAGCGTTTACATTACAACACTGGGAGATGCGTGGGGGTTTGGGGGTAGATTGTCAGCAGCACGGCCAGCCTCTCTTTATCACTCTGACTCTTTGTTGTTGCTCTCCCCCCTCTCTCCGCTGATCTCATTCTAGTCTGGATCAATGTCCTGTGCTTACCACAGGCAGACCAAGAGGCTGACAGTGAGGACTACTGAATGATCAAGCAATACAATTAGATTGTTTTCTCGCTCTAATTTGTCTAGAGACTGTTGATAGAATCAATGCAGTTGCTTTGTAAGCTGTCTCGTGAGCACATCTTTTTAAGCTCACTGATCCTGTGGCGAAGGAAAGTGGACGTGTGGACTTTGAACATTGTTTGGTGGAAAACACACTCTTTAGTGTACTCCCACCACTAGAGGCTACTGTTGATCTCTTTATGAAATTCGAAGCGGCACAATAGGACATTGCATGTTATTCGTGAGTTCAGTTGTTTTATAGTTATTATTGTATTCCATTTACCACTTCCATGCATATTTCCAGACTATTTTTGCATTTTTTGTTAATGTTCAAAGTCAAAATGTCTTACAGGTAGTGACAATGATTAATGGAAAGTTTTTACCACACATGTTTTTGTCCTGTTGGCTTGTGACCCATGGAAATAGAATTGGTCTCTTGGGACCACATGGCTTGTCATTACTTGCATTGCTTGCCAGTGTGTTGCATCCATATGAGATAAACAGAAATAACGACTTGAAAAATGATTCTATAAATTTGCCATGTTATTTTTTTCCCTTTTTATTTCACATTAAGATTTCAGTTTAACTAGCTTGTAACTAAATCGACTGTGATCGGGGATAGAAAGAGTCTGCAGTTTGCAGACTATTATGGTAGTTTACATTATTATGAAGTCCACACAGAGGCCTTAACCATACAATAACAACATATTTCATCACAAAATTGTTCAACCTCTTAAACATTTTTACATTTGGTCTTATTACTGAATCAGACAAGAAAGTACTGATATATTTGCATTATTGTTTTAGAATATTAAAAGACTTTAAAAAACAATTATTTCTTGTTTTAAAAATGTACAATTTTACACTCCTTTGTAATCGTCTGTCACATAAAGTCCTAGTACAATGTATTGAGATTTCTCAATACAAAGTAGTGTCCACCTGTCATTGGTTGTCATTGGTTGTTCAATGACAAAGTGTAAAAAAAAAAAAAAAAAAAATCTAGGGGCATGGATACTTGCAAACAAATGTATAGAAAAGCCCAGTACGTCTGTTGCATAAAAACTAAAAGAATAACTTCAACCTTTTTAAAATGTTTTATTTAGAACTGTTTGTCACTTTGTTTGGAGTTGGTTAAATTGAAAAAAAATATTGAAAAGTAATGTTTTACCACAGATTGTTTTTGCAGAAAGCCTTTAAAAGCGGGGTGAGGTGTTATGTATTATTTTCAAGCTTTATACCTTGTTAAATTGTTATTTCCCCTTCAAAAACATATCCAGGTATGTTTTTGATATGTGTTGCTTTGATTCTGTCATGCATGTTTGAGAAATCCTGCTGCAGCAATTAGGAAACACCTGGTGGTGTTGAAAATGAAGAAACAGAACATGAAAGTTACAGAGCTAGTCCAATGTGCTGCCACCCTGACAGGTGCAGTTCCAGAACATGTGTTCATGTTTTTCTGAACCCCAAAAAACATGATCTGAAACTGAAAAAAAAAAAATCTTGTCACTGAGTCCTTTTGCTGTTCAAATCTGCATTGCTGGTAACTTGGACATGATAAGACAACAATATGAGATTTCATTCCAAAAAGGTTTTGAAGACAACCACCGAGTCGGGCGGCTGACTGATGCTAATTTCCTTGAGGTAACATCTCAATAAGCCACTGTGAAGATACCATCTGTTTGAATCAAGTGACCTTGTAGCCACACGATTAAACCCAGCAGGCACTCGAAACAATGTGATGCTCAAAACAGTTTGCTTGAGTAGTCCATTAATATTTTCACCATGATTCCATGAAATCAGGATGATTCCAGCCAACACAGTTTTGAATAATTTAATTTGCAGTATTGTTTGAAGAATTTCTGAGCTTCATGCTGCTCGTCTTTGATTGGTTAGATCACTCTAAACTATGCACCTATAAACAATGTTTTTTCATCTCCTTCACAGGCTTTCTACCCCTTTGTTCTCCCCTTCCCTCCCTTTCTGCCCTGGCAGCTGTAAATAAGTCCAAGCCGTGCAGACCCCCGAGGAATCCTACTCCCCTTTGTGCCCTTTCCCACCGCTGCTACCCATGCCGAATCCCCTACCCTCTCAGACTCTTCTGCTTATGCTGCTGAAGCAAGCCAAGGAGATTCTCAGATGATCCATCGGGCTATTCTGAACCACATTGTCCACGCAGCCAGGGACGTGGAAGAGTAACTACTGCGAGTGTGAGAGAGCCCTTGGAAGAGGTGCTGTGAGCACCTTGTGAGGCCCTCCCACCAAGCCTGGCAAAAAGCTTGGTTTACCCCTTCTCTCTTTTAGCCCCTGAGATGCCCTCCCCTCCTAATGATGGAGGTGAGTAAGAGAGGGTCATTCCTCTCAGGACTGACAGGGTCAGTGTATTAGTTGCTCACACTGAATTTGTGCATGCAGTGTGACATACTTAAATCTACCTTCACACATACACCCACACTAACACACACACACTGAAACTGTAATAATTTAAGGATTATGATGTATGGAACTACAGCACGCAAGATGAATAATCCACTTACATTCTTCCCCCGTAAACAAAACTCTCTAAATCCCCTGCAGGAACAAGAAAAATATATTAGAGTTCTGCTTCCTTCCCTGTTCGGGAGCACAAGCTGTGCTTGTATCTAGTTATGTTGTGTGTTATCTCCTCCAGAGGATCAAGGAGCGTCCCCCGTGAATGTCCCATCTGTGGGTCCCTACCGGAGCAGTGGGAAGAGGAGGTCGCACAGCAAAAAGAAGAAGGGCAGAATAACCGCCAATGTCTCTGGCACCAAATACGAAATAGGTATTCTACCTCAAAAGAAGTTCAGACTTTCTTGGTGTCATAATGACCACATAAGTATGTGAAATAAAAAAACAAAACAAAACATGCTAGTGGGGAATCTAACTACAGGTGCAACTCAATAGATTAGAATGTTATTGAAATGTTAATTTATTTCAGTGATTCAATTCAAAACTGGAAACTCATATTATTTAGACTACACAAAAAGTTATATATTTTCAATGTTTGTTTCTGTTAAAGCCCTGGGATTAGGGTTAGGTGATTATGATTGTAAGTTGGTTAATCAGGAGATTCTAGAGTTGAAGTCCATCTCCTGGATACTTTTGTGACTGGTGGGTCTTGAAGCATTGCTCAGACTTCAGTCCAAGCCCTCTGACTCTAGTCCAAACTCTGGATTTTTACAGTTATATTTATAATATGGTTAGCATTCATAAATACCACATTTTTTGTCCTTACCCTCAACTTTTCAATTGATATACTTAGTTATTTGATCTTTTGTGGACATTGTTCCTTTTCCAAAATGACAGTTACTGTCTACCAGACAACTCTAGACAGTATAGCATACAATCTCTATTATATATATATTTCTATTGGTTTTATGCAATATTAAAATTTTACAATGTATTTTCTGAGAAATACACAGTAATACAAAAAAATATTTGAAATGACACAAACATTGAAACTAACAGAGGCAATCAACTATCACTCTGTTTAAAGAATGCATCATCTGCATGCTTTAGTATTCCAATTAAATGCCTTAGTAAATAAACTTTGTGATTATATTTTATTTATTAAGATGCCCGTAAATAGACTAAATCCATTCAGGTGCATCTGAATGGATTTACTTTAGTGACATAAAAAGAGGATTTGTTACTTTTCATAGATGATAGGTATGAAAATTGATTAGATTAATCAGTCCTAACAGCAGTTATGACATTATATAAACTGTTTCCGTCATTTCTTTTCAGTACTGTGGTTTAGAAGACAGGTGAGAAGCAAAATTAACCTAAATAGACAAGTGAAAAGCCCTACAAACAAAGTCTCCCTTGAAAATGTTTCTATGTTCTTGTTTGTTTTGTAGAGTAATTTTCTGTTTACTGCAACTACACTGAACTAAATTTTCTTTGAGTTTGAGGTTTGTCTTTTCTCATAAGAAAATGTAATGAGTAATGAAGTTTAAGCCCGGTTTCTTCCTGTGGCTTCGTGAGTTCTGCAAAAACACCACAAATCCAACTCTAATGTTTCCTTAACAATAAAATCTGCAGAGGTGTATATATATTTTTGAGAGAGCTTGCTTTTCTTTGTCTCAAATTACACCCAAATAGTTGCAGTTGAGCTAAACAGCTCACACAGAGACAGTTCAGCCATGTATGCTTTACATAAATCTTCTGTGGGGTAATTTAGCTCGGCGGTGAGTTGTTGTTCTTTTCAGTTTGAGATTAGCTAAAAGAGCACTGTAAGCACTCCTCTGAAGTTCAATATATTGTGTGGCAGCAGAGTTCTCAGGGGTGAACTACAACCGATGAAAGTAAGGAGTCAGCAGCAGCGAGTAGAAGTCTGAGGCAGTCGGCATCCTGTTGGTAGACGGGAGTCCAGCTGTGAGTCAGTCATCTAGCTGTGACGGGACCCTCACAGAGGCCATTCTGAGGGTAGTTCAGGCCTATTTTGAGGGAAAATTAACACCACAGGCCAGATGGATCGCTTGTTTTTGCATTTTTTGCCCCTCTTTTACCTTTTTTGAGAACCGATAATATCCCAGGTAAAGTTTTATGATGTGAGAAAATAGGATTTGGAATCTGCTTTGGGCCCATTCAGTAGGGAAATGTGTGCTAACGCACTTAAAATGGCTGTTTTGTGAAAATTGCAAGAAAAGGATCAATTATTGCCCTGCTTTACTAGAGGACCATACTGCTAACCGTAAGCATATGTCTGCTTTGATGTAAATCCTCTCTGTTCCAGTTAGCAAAACACTTTTAGTCTCTGCTGACATTAACAGATGGATGAAGTCACATTGGAAACATTTATTTCCCCATTCAAGTGCCATCACGCAACATTAGGCAAGCCTTCTCCAGGTTTGTAGATGCTTTCAAGAAATTAATTAATACTTTGTTTTGTTAGGGCATATGAATTTTTCATTAACTGCTGAATAATGAATACTAGTTGGATTAATGTCCAAGTGGGTTGCCACCTATCTCTCATGCTATAGGGTTTCCGGTGGGATTTGAATGCATTACAGTCAATTAATTTATCTTTTTCAGGAGAGGCATTACGATTAGCTGCTGTGCTACCATTTCATGAATAGTAAATATTGCTGTGAGCTTTTTGATCTATAACCTCCCAGATTCATCTCTTTATGAATGCACAGCAACATTTAGGCCTAGCAAAATGTTTGAGTGAAATATTGATCTATTACGCTTGGTTAGGTTTAGGAATTATGGGTTCAAGGGAGAGCATGGTCTTTTCTTTTTTTTTTTTTTTGCATCTATAACTTTTAGCTGCCTCGCTCTTTAGAACATGGCTGGTCAGTTTTTAAGAGGTATTTCTACAGATATGGTGACTTGCAGGGTTAAGCATATGAAGTGTCTATAACCTTTAAGTTTTTTTTTCTTTTTTACCATTTTGTAAATTATCTTCACACTGTAATCACTTTTTTTAGATTTTTTAATATAGACTAATAGAAAGTACTGCAAAATAGTGTAGAGAAAATGATGCATGGTTAAAGTGTAGTATGCCTTTGTAGTCTGACCCAGCTATTATCTGTACCTTTTTTTACTTTCTTGAAGGAATGGCTTTCTCCTTGGCACATATCTAGAAAATTTATAGCTGGAGTCTTCACACTTAAATAATTTTTCTTGACTGGTTCTCCCACCTGAGTAGTGCATTTCTGCATTTGCTCCAGAATTACCACCTCTTGGCTGCTAAAATAATTGAGGCCTATGCTAACTTTATTTACAATAAGATTAATTTTATTTGCATATCCATCAATTTATGATAGAAAATTGTTGCACAAGATCTTATTGAAGGGTTTTAGAGTAAAACATTTTGTATTCTTCCGTTTAGCAAATATGCACTTCTTTGTGTGATCTATTTTGTTGTAATAACCTGAGAAAATTTTTAAAAGTTGAAGAGATATAAATGCTCTTGCAAGGCACTCAACTTGTTTATTGTGGAGATTCTAACTTCTTTGTGATTTTTTTTTTTAGAGTAGATACTAATGTGTTTTTTCATTTTTATGCAGTACGTATAGTCACCAGCGAGATGGACTTCATCAAAGCACGGGATGATGATGAGACTGCCAACCTCATCTGGAATGACTCAGCGGTGCAGCATGAGAAAATTGTTGAGCTCAGGAACTATCAGGTAGACACAATTGGTTAGTGTTTAAAAGTTGAAAATGATGTTTGAAAAGATAATTTGCTTTCTTTTAATATACTTAGAGGAGGTCCAGTGCATATATGGATTAGGGAAATATTTGTAGTGCAGTGTCGAAGAACAGAATGCTGATTCACTCATAAAATGTTTACAATGTTGGAATGAAATATTTAAGATACACTTTTTTCTAAAGATTGTGTGTTTAGCTGGCAGTAGAAGAATGAGTAAAAGGGGAGTTTCCAAAGAGAGAAAAATACGTATGTTTCCTAAAAGTTAGATTGAGGAACAGAAAGGAACAAACACATTTTTTTCAAAATAAAATATAATTTTATTATAAAAAAACTAAAGATTGTTTCAAGTAACAAACTTTCAAACCATTCTAAAAAAACAGTTCCAGTAGATTATTTTCATATTAAATAGCTGAAAAAACCCTTCAACTTGCTAACTTGCGGCCCTGCTGGTTGTGTTGATGAAATTTTTGTTTGCCAATATCAAACAGTTTTATAAAATCTTTATTTATTTTGAAATTACTTTTAAAACTAACAAACTTGATATGGCATATTAAATATAATAACTAATTTCTAGGCCCAGTCTTCTCGACACATCCCGTGGGCTGCAAGCGGCTTCGGAAATAAGTCTGTTCATCTCAGGGCTATTTGAATAACATTTTCTAAGTGTTATAAAAGTGCTCCATCACTTTCTTAATGGCTGTTAATCAGTGAGAACACAGCAGAAAACGTTGCACCGTGTGTCTGTGTTCAGATGGAGGCTGCAGGGTGCTCAGACCTCATTAACTAACAGCAGTCCCAAACAGTTGCAACTGTCATAATATCTGTCTGCTTCAATCAAGCTTTCTCATCACTTGTACCACATCAATCACAATGTTTCAAACTCTGCTACAAATTAGGCTTATTGGCAAAATATACAAACCAGCTGGTGTTTGCAATAAATGGATAAAACCACAGCAATTTAAATAACTAATCTTGCAAAATTGAGCACAAAATGTTCCTTTAATTACAAAAGCTGCCACAAACAAAAGACTTTTACATTTACAGCAAATCTGATGTATTCACCTAAAGTATCTTAGCCTTCTCCTCGTAGGCAAACATTTCGTTTTGATAAATATTCTTGGGTTTGTATGTTGGCACCACTTTTTAAAAATCCCATTAAGGATTTACAGACAACTATAATGGCTACTCTAGTATTTCAAAGGACTTAAAACCAAGTCTTTGTGGAGTTTGCAATATCCTTTGAATTATTGTAGTGTCAGAGCTTCGGCTTACTCCCAGATGGTATGACATTCTCTCCCAGGATTTCCTGATATTTGATTGAAACCACATTGCCCTCCACACGGTGCAGTTTTCCATTGCTGGAGAAGGAATAGTAGCCCCTGAGCATCACTGAGCCCCCACCATGCTTGTCTGTAGGCGGGGTGTTCTTTTTTTTTTTTTTTCCACAAATGTTTTCTTTTGTCTTCCCTCCTGATGCATAGTTACACAAACATCCAGTTTTGGTCCATTTATCTACAGAACAGAATCCCAAATCCTTTTTGGCTTCTTTATGTATTTCCAGCAATTTGGAGGTGACTTTAATTTTGCTTTTGGGTTTGTAGTGGTGTATGTCTTTAAGCTCAGACATGATGGCCTTATTATGGCGTTATTATGCACCGCGCTGTGAAAACTGAATCTTCAGTGTCTGTTTCCACCATGTCATCCAGCAGGTTTTGCAGCAAGTCCTCTATCTGCTTCCTCCTTAGTCTGGTGGCAGCCGTCAGTAGTTTTATCTCTCAGCCTCATCCATTCGTTCCAAGCTTCTAACATTGTAAAACATCACCATTACCAGGGCATGAAGTGTTCTGCCCCATATACACCAGATGCAGCTAATGAAGCCTTTGATTGGTTGCACCAGGTGTGCTTGAGACCACACCCAATTTTTTTTAGGAGGTTGAATAATTTTGAGACTGCAGTAGTTATAAAGGATGATTTTTTTTTTTGGTATGGAATTAGGATAATGTTAGTCTTATTTATCCTGTCAAACCATTCTTGTGTAACTTGCTCAATGCTAGAACATGAAAAACAAGAATAATGGTTCTTAGAACTGTCTTAATAGTACTATGTGTCTTAATAGAACTGTCTTAATAGTACACATATGAACTGTCTTAATAGTACTATGAACTGTCTTAATAGTACTATGTGTACTGTCTTAGTTTAAACCACATACGTTGCTTCCTGAAATTTTAGGTTAGGTTTTTGAGATCTTCAGTGTAGACACATGGATAGATTTTCTCATTCCTTCCATTCAAATATAATTTTCTGGGGCAGCGAAGGTTTTGGGAATCATTAGCTAAGTTCTCTTGTTTTTTTCTGACTTTGTAATTTAATTTGTAATTTGTAACATAATCAGATGCCCATGTGTATCTCACCGGAAGCAGATAAAAGTCTGGATAAATCATAGTTTGCAGAATGACAAAAGTTCCATAGCGGAAAATCAGCTATTATTAAATCGTAGTAAACCATAGTTCACATGCTACCTTTTAAAACTTATAACTGCAGGCACTTTGCTTTAAATGGTTAATTATTGATATTTATTAGTGTTTGGTCTGTGATTTGATGCTTTAGCTATTCCATGCAAAATGTGGGTTGGAGAACAGATTGAGGTAAGCAGAGAAACTAAATTGTGCAAATACAATGCGTTAAAAACCCCAAAATCTTGGAGAGGTTGAAGCAAAATGTGTTTTATTGATTTTAAGCATTACTTTCCCATCAGATTTTCTGGCCTTCTTATGCTTACCACATTTCACTTCACAGCACATGTTTCAAGTGGATCAAATTTGTCAGCAGACCTTGGACCTGTCACTGCAGTCTAACACAAACAGTCTTGTATATAAAACCACTGCCAGTGCAATTAGATTTTCTGAAATGTCATTAAACTATGTGATGTTTGTTTTAAATTCATGGGAAAAAAGGTTTAATCAACAATCAAGTAAGTTGTACGAAATGGTAAAATACCATATTGTTTTTGGTGAGGTAATTTATAATGCCTTTCTAAATTATTCAAACGCCCTGAACTTTGTCACATTTTCTCACATTGGAGCCAAAAACCTTAGTGTATTTTACTTTGATTTTAAGTAATAGATCAAAGGAAAGTGCTCTGTAAAATGGAAGGAAAATGATACACAATTCTAAAATAGATGTATGTCTGGACTTTGGGCCAGTCTAACAATTTTTAGCTTTTGAAGTATGTTTAGGATTTCAATCCTGTTATAAGGCGAACGTTCTCCCCAGGCTCAAGTATTTTGAAGGCCTTTATGAGTTTGTTTAACTATTCCCCGACATTTAGATCCATCCATCTTCCCATTTATTCTGACCTGTTGAGAAAAGCCTTCACAAAACATCTGCATTTATACTGAGATTACATTACATTTCATACTAGTTAGGTGACTTCCAAAAGAAAGTGGTTGCAGTGGATTTCATTCTGAGGTATGTAATTGAAAGGGAATAAACATGTAAGTACAAACAGATTTTATTTGTAGAACAATTTAGAAACTATTTCAGTTTGCAATTGCACTGATCCAGACCACAATGCTTTGTCCTGGTCAATCACATAAACTCTGAATGAAATTCACAAAAAATGTATTGGAAGTTGTATGTATACACCTGGATGGTACCATATATTGTGACAAGAAGTGAAGCTCTGCATTTATCACAGTGAATATGAAAAGTTTGGAAAATGGAGGACATATTCAACAAACCATAGAGGTTCATTAAGAAAAGTTTTAGCAAAACATAAAATATATCATATATATTTATCTGCAAAGTGGAAGCTCCTAGATACTACTCCTAAGGCACAATGTAGCAAGAGTAGAAAATAGCCAGTATGAAAAAATCATGGAGATAGTGAGAGGCTACAGTAGAGGCCATACAGAGATGGAGAGATTGACAGGTAGACTGACAGGTAGACTGTGCACAACAGGGGCTGCCTGGACAGCTTTCAGATGTCACTAGTGATGTTGATAAGACGGGTCTTAACAACAGCGGTTGCTCTCGGTTTTTCTCGCTGGTCTGAGAGTGATTTTACCTCTGTTTGACCCCTGCATGTTGCTCAGTGAACTTGGCTGCCCTCCTGTAGCTATGAGCATTAGCTATCAGTCTTTCCGAGCGCTTATTTGATTAGACTGGCCACTAATGATCGATTAAATCACAAGCTAGTCAGGAAGAGGATGCCTTGTTAAAATAAGGGCACCAAGAGTTCAGGAAAGAAGATGAAATATTGTGAATGCTATTGATGCTTAGTATGTTGTAATGTTGCTAATGTTTCACATTGAACAGATGCTTTGCCTTTTTTCAATCCGTCTGCGTCTTCATGGAACCGTGGCTTTCATGAGATAAAATCTCAGAAGAAAAGTAAAATTCCCTCAACAATCGGTTTCGATTTGCGCTTACATGCCATGTAGTCTTGCTGCACTAGCATAATTGTGCAGTCTCTTCCGTATCTCTAATTATGTCTGTCTCATTTGGATAATAATCACGCATTCCTTATACACTTTGTATTCTGTTTTTTTTGTATTTTTTTTTTCATCTCTTCTCCCCTCCCATTGTAAAATTGTCCTCTTTTTCCGTTTTGATGATGTACTTTGAGAGTTTGCTGTCAAATTTTCAGTTCATACGAGCCTAATTACCACCCCTGTTCAGGCTCATTTGGTCAAAGAATACAGAAAACTCAGAGTTTTTTTTTTGCTTTACATCCACCCCCCTTTCGGCACATTCAAAGCAATTCATTCAACTGTCACCGCAGGAGCTTGCGATGCAGAACCAATTACCTTGGCCCCTCTGAGTTGAGATTGATCGTTTTTTTTCTCGTCTCTTCCCTCCCCAACCTTTAAAGTATTAAAAAAAACATGGTAAACTAAATAAGGGTTGGGAAAGGTCTTAGCGTCACCTTTTTGTTTTGAGTCTGTAATTGGGCATAAATGTCAGAACATTGTAAGCTCACTTCAGGTTGCTGCCTTTAATGTGCTCATTTTTATGAAGGGGTGGGGGTGGAATTGAGTGGCTTAATGGCCCTAACAACATTATTATGTCTGCCTGTCCGTCTGCAGAGAATTAACCATTTCCCTGGCATGGGCGAAATCTGCCGGAAAGACTGCCTCGCAAGAAACATGTCCAAGTGAGTTTTTCTTTTTTTTTTTTTTTGTCCCTCTTTAATACGCGCATGTGATTGCTTTGGATCAGTTACAGAGAAGCAACGCAAGCATTCAAAAGCCTGCTGGTATTATAAGAAGTTACAGCTGGGCGCTTGTAGCACTTCACAATTCAAAGCAAATGGTCAGGTCTGCTTTGAAAGCACAACATTCATCTTTTAATTTGACAAAAAAAAGAAGAAATTCCTAATAAGTGCCAGACTCAACTGCCAGATTATTTTAAAATGATAAATTATTGCTTCTTAGAGGAAGGTACACCTGTTCACTAGCTCTTTTATTCTTGCAGAATGATCAGGTGCCAGCCTCAGGAGTACAACTTCACACCCAGAACCTGGATCTTCCCTGCTGAGTATACACAGTTCCAGAACTATGTCAAAGAGCTGCGCAGGAAACGCAAGCAGAAGACCTTTATTCTCAAACCTGCCAATGGAGCCATGGGTCATGGGTATGTCAGTGGCTATTGCAAGTGTTCCTGAGTAATCTATGCGCATTGACTCCAAGACTGACAGAGAGGGCAAGGGTAAAAGTGGAAAAGGGAAAGGAAAAGGGAGGAGGGAGTAAATTAGCAACAGAGCAAATAGAGGACAAGCACAACAAAAACAAAGCAATAAGGGGTTTGTAACCCTGGCATGGGTGTCTATGGAAATGGAGGATGGCTGGTAACAGATTGAGTATTAGAGCTGAGAGGGTGTGGCGAATCTCATTGTGGGGCTTCATTGTCCTCGATGGTCACCCCTGCCATAAATCAGCGGTTATCACTGCCAGTGGGGGCCACACACAAATGCTTGTGGTCTCTGGCAGTTACTGTAGTTCCTTCCCCTCAAGGTCTCTGCATGTGATTATTGGATTCTTTTATGAGGCACCATCAGCAGAGGCCAGTCAGACTAGAAAATGGACAAAGATGGCTGCTGCAGGGGAACACATACTCTCAATAGCATCTCTTTATCAAAAGATGAGCTAAATGTCGTACCTGAATGCATATTTCATGCTTTCACTCCCATGGGGTAAGAAGCAAGCTCAAATTGTGACGTCAAAGTTTTGTTCTGGATTTTGGGATTCTGAGAGAGAAAATCTGGAAGTATTTATTCATTTTGTTTCAGAATAGAGTAATAGTTAATGTAACAAGATCCTCCTGTGCACAGTTTTGATCAGGAGTGTGAAGTAATTGAATGACTTGCAAGACAGTGTTAAATAATGGTCTTTTTTGGATTGATGGTCTCTGAACTTTTCCACATTTTGCGTTGTTACAACCTTAAACTTCAACGGTAGCATATAATTAATATTTTTGTTGCGAATTCTGTATTCGAATGAGACTTTGACATGACTATTCTAACACATGAATATGCTTTGGTGGAGGTTTGTGGAGTGTCCTATTTCAGCTAGCCTTCCACTTAGCAACTATGCACTACTTTGTGTTGGTTTATCACATAAAACACAAACGGAATACATTAAAGTTTGCGGTTGTAACGAAGATAAAATGTGAAATAGAAGGAGTACAAATTTGCAATGCACTGTATATTGAAAATAATGATGAATTCGCTTGAAAATCACTCACTCCTTCATATGTCCTGGAAAGTGAACTGGTTACATCATCTCACCACAAGCATTGCCAATAAAATCTCAACATTATAAGGCTCAGTAAGCGTTTGATCTTTTCTTTAAGTGATGGGGACTTTGATATTGATCACAAAGCTCCCTCAATTTCAAAAGAATTAGAGGAGCAGGATGAGATCCAGCTATCTGGGCTTTTGTAGGTGTTCCACTGACTGGGGAGAAATGAGCAGAGTCAAAACATCCATAGGTAAGTCAGGAAGTTTGCCAAAGAAAGGAATAATAGGACATTTTAATGTTCACAGCACTGGGCATTTTTTTTATTGCTTAGAGTGGCTTTTTAATCCAAAAATGTTATTGGTACTAAGAGCTTAAATTTTCTTTTTGATCTATTTTTTCATAAATTCTAGTTTATTTATTATTTAGGAAACCAATTATTGAACACTTAATAAAAATGATGTGAAGACTACAGACAAAAAAGCCAAAATAAAGAAGAGCGGATTTAATATTTAGGTTTTGTAAATAATTTGGTTTCAGGAGATAAATTTTAAACTAAAAGAGCATGCATTTTAGCTTAAGTATGAACCCCTTTAAAAATAAATTTTAGTTTTCAGCTCTCTCGAGAACCCCAGAATGGTCTTAAATTGTGAAAAATGTATTAATCATTCTTTTTCACATTCTGTTCTTTGAAAATGTGATCCCTGAGACGAGTGTGCATGAAGAAATATCTTGGACTGACTTCATCACTGGCACCAATAGGTGGGGATATTGAAGTACAAATAGCTCTGTGTGCCTCACCTCTCCCTCTAGTTCTCTTTGAATTTGTCCTTTCTGGTATAATGTGGGCATTACTTATAACTCCATGCTCGCACTAAGCCCTTATTTATTAAAGAATAAAGGCTGAATTATTGCAATACATTAAGAATATGAAAGATGATGAGTTTAGCTCGACCACTCAGTGGCAGGCAGCTGGCAAAATTAGATTTTTCTCTCTTTTTTTTTCCCCCTGTGGTGTGACGCGGCAGGAAATTAAGTTATATCTACCCCCTGTAATTTATTTTTCTGTCGACCAACTAAATGAAGTTATTGTTTATGTCTGAAGCCTAGCTTGTTATAAGGGGAAACAAAATAAAAGTGCGCGCAGAGCTTAAAAAGGCAAGCTCCCCTCCAGTGTCAAATTAAATAGGCAGGGGGAGAGTGGGCTGTGATTATCTGACACCCCAGCTCATCAATCATGCCGTCTTCTCCTCAGCTACTTCAGCTCCACTAACTAACGCTGTTAACCCTGTCCTCATCAGTCAGCCAGCTGTCATCCAGCTAAGAGGGCCCCTCATATTGACGTTCAGGCCCATAACAACTTCCCCTCTGCTCTCGTTCATTCAAGTACTGTGATAAGCGGGTCAGTGAAGTGGTCATTTGTAGCGGAGCAGTTTCTTAGTTGGCAGGAGTAAGAACTGAACATGTACATGGAAGTACATCTGCAAGCATGAAACGGTTCTTCCAACTCAGTTGATGAGGGCAAAACAAAAAGTTTTTTTTTCATTTTATCTCAAATGTTGGTTTTCATTGTGTTCTTTTGAAACTTCTAAATACAGTGTAAACTTTTGCTTTCAGCTTCATAAATAAACAGAGTGGATACATTAGTGGATAAATTATAATATTTATTGAGGGATACACTGACTAGAGTTTTGTGACAAATGTCTAATGTCAGTATTTTTGAGTTTCAACCTGCTAATGCTGATTTTCTATATTTCTATTTGTCTTTAAAAGTTATAATCGACAACACTGAACAATTTTTCTACCCTTTCTGCCGTGAGTGCAGGTAATTACTAATTATAGACGTGAATGGGACTCACATTCTTGCAACCTGTCCTGAACTCGCAATTAGGGTGAGCCAAACACTTCCTGTTTATCAACTTTTAATATTTTTACTTGATGTTACCAGAGGTGTGGTACTGCACTGCCACCCAGCAGCTGGGACTCTATGGAGAGAATATTACCTTAACTTGGAGATTTCTGGAAAGTTGCCATCTTTTTTTTTTTTTTAAATCCAACAGGTTTCATGACAGACAAATAGAAAGCTCTACAGATAGAACATAATAACTTTGATGTCCCACATACAGGCTTTGTAGTATTTGAAAGTATTGTGTTATCCCTCATATAGTTGTGACATTCACAAACACACCATATCAATTGTTGGGTTGGAAACAAGGATGATGGGGACAGAATCAGAGTGTTTTATGTTTTTTTTTTTTTTTTAGTTTTAGACAAGCAGACATAGCTTTTTCATTTGCTGCTCTATGGAGTAAGACATGGAACAGGCAAAAAAATGCAGTGTGGACATCTGAGTTGTCTACATGATTTCATAGCATGTAGAAGTCGAGGGGGCATTTGAACCTAAAACTCTTCTCTGCATTAAAAACAGTAAAGCAAAGTTTAATATTTACTTTTACTGCAAATTATTCTATATTCTACCTTGTGGCTGACTTCTTGAAAATATATAAATAAAAGATGATGGTCTTTTGAACAGCTCTTTGAAAGGAAGGTATCCACAAAATTCAAGCTGTCTTCCAGGAGCAGAAAATCCAATCTCTTGTCTTGCTCAGCTTGAATGAACTGTAATAGATTGTTGTTGTCAGTACCACCCAACACTTTTGTAATTCCTCATCTGACTTTTAGACACATTGCTGACACTAAGAATGCTAACTTTGAGTTTCTTTCCTTCAGTAACAACTTTTTCACTGACAAATTTTGTTGTTGGCACAATCTGGTAGCACCAAGATATGTTTTGTTCACTGATCAGAACAAGATTGGATTTCTGAGTTTCGAACAGACCACTCTAAAAATTCTTAGTTTGGGGTCCCAGGCAGATTTCCCGGTGCATTTCCACAATATAGGCTGCACATTTTCATGATACTTCATGTTCTGTCTGTAAAACCAGACTCATGTTGCTGCTGCTATATTTCTGTTTCATAGTCTATAATTCAGGTCCACACATCTTGGACTAGTCTTAAGTTTTTGTGTGCCATGTTACTTCATGCATGTGTACAATGGAGCCGACCAGGCTCCTCATGCAAGCAATTTAGATTAAATCAGCCCTACCTATGAGTGATGGGTGATATAGGTCAGCTGCATTGCATGTACATAGTGGAAGATTGTTCAGAAAATGACCCCACACCCTCTGGTTGCACAAAAAACAGTCTACTCACCGACACAAAAAAAAAAGCTGCACAGCCACATGGATGTCCACAAAATAACACAACTCATTCTTTATTTCAACTAGAAATGGCCTGCATATTATAAGTCTTGAGTGCCAGTGACATGAGGCCAAAGCAAATGAATCAGAGTCGAGCTTGAAACGGAGTAGTGTCGGCTCCTATTAACCTGTGCTCAGGTTAAAGACCCAGCCAGAGCAGCTGACGTACTCGCTGTTCAGAAAGAGAGGAATTTGTCTTTGAAGAAAAATCACAATGTTCTCCAGATGCTTATGAGAATGGCTAAGATCAGCCATCATTCCTGTTGTAGCCCCTTTGTGTACATTTGATAGATCAGCAGTGCAGAAACACACTACAAACATTTTTGGCATGTCAGTTTCTTCAAAAAACAAATAGTTTCCTGCTGCAAGTAGACATGAGGCTTACTTTTTGTTCTTATTTACATTTCTTTACAAAGACTCTGTGACTGCGGGTTTTTCATATGGACACAAGATTACACTCTTTCTCCTTAAGGCTTATGGTCTTTATTGTGAGTTTTAGAATCATTCATTGTATGGTATGGACATATTTTAATATCCTCTCCCCATGATCACACATGCCATGTGTATAATTTATGGTTATTATCCATTAACTGAACAGAAGACGCAGCAGGCCAAAGTTAATCTTGGGACATAAAGCCAGAGAGTACCATGAGAATGGGCAGAGGGAGCAAGTCAGAAATATTTCCCTCAACGCTTTCAGACGACTTTCAGATGAAATATTGTAATGAAACACCTAAAATCAGTATCTTGTTTGCCCCAATTTTCTGACTTCAGTATGAATAGAAGACAGTGCCAGTGTCATCAGTCTTGTTCATAGTCTCTACTATGCTTCCATCTATCATTTTTTTAATTATCTTCACCATGCCATCTTTTATTATGCCACCATAATTTGCCCCCCCAAGGATTAATAAAGCCTCTCTCGATCCAGGATCTCGCTTATCCGTAGCTGTGAGAAGCTGCCATCCCACGAGCACTTTATTGTTCAGGAGTACCTGGACAAGCCCTTCCTGATGGAGGGCTACAAATTTGACCTGCGCATCTACATCCTGGTTACTTCCTGTGATCCGCTTCGCATTTTCCTGTACAATGACGGTCTGGTTCGCATGGGCACCGAGAAGTACCACTCGCCCAACGAGGCCAACCTGGTGAGTCACAGATTAGGATGTCTCTGCTGCAGCCTTTATCTGTGTAGCAGTTTTCCAAGCTGTTGATACATAGATATAGAAATAGATACACCCACACAGACATGTAGCTTTTAACTATTAGCAGCTCAGTAGTACCTCTTTAAGTACCAGAATTGATGTCGACATCAGAGCTATAACAGTGATTGAATATTGAAATTACATTCAGTCGCACTGACTGCTTTGTAACGTAAAAGTAGAAGACATAATCTAAAAATAACCACCCATAAACACTCAACGAAGTATAGATGCAGATAATTTAAGGTTAAAGTGGAGATTTTGCCCTACACAAGCACAGAATGTGCAGACAGACTGTACACAGACAGCTGAGCAAAATTGTTCACATACCAGATGTTTGCTGTGATATCAAACCAGTCATATTTGCCTGGAGGTTCTGCACCTGCTGAAGCACAGACTTTCGCAGACAAACACTCACATGCGCAGATTTTTCTCGAGAAAGACACATGCTCGTTTTAAGCACACACTCACACTTGCATGGACATCACGAGCTTGTATTGTCTTAATGTATGACACATGATGGAGTGAGCAACGTCATGGATATGGATGCTGGATTCCTCAGAGAGCAGTCTCTAGAGAGCCATCCAGGGCTGTGGTGGCCTGCAGGCACGGCGTTATGTCTTTGTAGAATAAGGACAAGGATGTGTTGTCTTTGAGTTTGACTGATGGTGTTTAAAGACAGGGGTACAGCAACGGTTATATGGTGGATAGCTGCTGTCATCCAATTCAAAGATGCAGAGCCTATGACAAAATATAGATGGCTCTGAATGCTTGTAATTTTGGCCACCTGGGAATAAAATAAAAGTAGTTTGCTGTGATGTTTATTTTCCACTTTATCATTAGACTTCCATATCTTTAGTACATGAAGTTACTAATTAATTGCATGTTGGTAGGTGCTTTGATCTGAGAAATGGCTTCCTTTCAAACTTGTGGCTAGATCAAGAAGATATCCAATACGCCAACCTATGTTTATAATATTTATGATACATACAATGTTTCACAAATTTTCTGAAGTGAAGGTATTTGCAAAATTTAAACTGAAGTTTCTTGTTTAAATTTTTAAAAATGTGAAAAGGTTTATGAGATATCCATACCTTGGAAAATCTCTGTAGGTTTTGTTTTTGAGAGATGAATGGATAGTAAATGAGAAGAGACAAGAAATAAAAAAAATAATTTGTTCAAGTGTCATTTTTATAGATTTATACACAAAAATACACCTTGTCTGACCTGGCCACAGTCAATAAATACAGGAATAGAGACATAGTCTGAAAATCTTGTTTTGCAATTTATATCATTCCAATGTGGTTCACAAGCTTCAGAAATTAACTTGGTTCCTATTTCTCTAAGCTTTCTGCCATGCCATAAATGGTTTGACTTCTTCTTATATTTGCTTTGGTGCCTTCCTGTTTTCACAGACCCAGCTTTACATGCATCTGACAAACTACTCTGTGAACAAACACAATGAGAACTTTGAGCGATTTGAGGCAATAGACAGAGGCAGCAAGAGGTCCATCAGCTGGTTCATCGAGTTCCTCCGTGTCAACAACTACGACGTGTCAAAGTTCTGGGAAGACATCTCTGTAAGTGTGTCATTCACATAGACAGTTACAAACACATCTGGTTCTATGTATCCAAACTGTCTTAGATGTTTACTTTCACTAAGGAAAAAGAAAATTTGTTAGCCAATCAAAAACACTTAATAAAAGCAAACATCCAAATATTTAAACTCTTGCCGTACCTTAATATATACACACAGATGGTAACAACACACAGGTGGGATAACTAAGGTTTGATTTGATTTGCTATGACACTGATTCAGAAAACGTGTTTAATTCTCGCCAGAACTCAGAGGAAACATCATTCCTGTAGGGTGAGCTTTTCCTGTGTAGCTCAACTCACACACCTCAACCTTGCTTACTTTCTTTCGTCAATTCTTGAGTTTTTCTCTTCTGAAGCTCCATCTGTCATGTGTTTATTGTTTGTTTTTCAATTTGTCTCTTACTTATTTCTTTTAAATCAACTCTTCAGGGTTCTGTTTATGTTTTTCAGTTCCTTTTTTATTTTGACTTTGTCCACAGTTGTGTGGGTTGTGTCGTCCCTCAGTGCTTGTTCTTGCCACTCTGCTTGTCATGCCATGCTTGTATTGGAAATGAAATCCTTTTGGCTGATGCTCTCTTCTCAGGATATACTTTCTTTTTTCTTCAGCTCTTGTCCTTCTCTTCATTGACTTTTCACTTTCCTTGTGTTTACATATTTGTGTTTGAGTTCTGGCTTAATGTTATGACTTTTTTTATTATCTCTTAACAATCTTGCCATTGTGTATTTTTGTTCTCTCACATTTCTTTCATTTCTATTCTATTCCCTATCCTATTTTTCATCTGATAAATTCAGAGTAAGCTGATGAGACTCTTGGTTCCAGTGTTGAAATGAGAAATATGTGGTTTTCTTGTTGACATATTGTCTGTGGGTGTCAAACACATTATGCATAGGTTTTTTTTATGTGAACTACTGACTTATCTTTAGATGTTGATGAGTTAATGTAGGGCAGGTAAGCAGAGGTGCAGCCATTTGTTGCTGCTCTAAACCTGTGGACAGGGCCTGACTACTAATGGACTGCTCATAGTTTATTACACTCTAAAATAAAACTCTGCTCTAAAACTAAAAATACCAGTTACAATCATTTCCAACTTTTGTTTTCGATCAGGGCCATGCTGTTTACGAATTGTATTTATGTATATTATCAGCAGGGAGACATTAAAAAAACTTGTTTATTAGTTAATGAAAGAATACTGTTATGTTGGAAATGATGAGAGAGATGCTCTGAGACTCACTCTGGCGGGTCGATCAGTTTTGAGATCAGCATGACCCGGAAACTGAGCAGTCCTTTTATTGATTAGTGATCGCACCATATCTTATCACTACCAGGTCATGTTAAGTAGTTCGATGTGGATGGTGATGCTGAGTATGGAAGTCAGTGTCATTAAGATGTTTAAATTTGTGAACAGCAGAAGCTCAAGTATGTAAGAAAGAAAAAATTTTTTTTTGTAACTGCGAATACTACAAGAAAGCAAGAGTAGTCAGAATATAACACGAAGGATAATCAAAGTTCTGTAAAGTGACTGGACTTCAAAATGTTGGAAGCTGTGTTGGAAATCTCAAGATTATAGTAAGGATCTAAATTCAAAAGGGAATATAACCAACTGCAGTAAGGTGCAGCTAAAGGCAGTTTTAAATGTCAAATCAGTAATCATTTGTACCTGGTTGGTTTACTAAACAGCAGTTTCTCTCTCTCACCCAGAATATGACATTCCCACATAATATAAATGATTAGCATTCAATTCATAAAAAATACACAGCTTTTGTGTCTTCTTATGTAGTTTGTAAAGAGCAAATTGAATTGGCAGATCAAAACTTTGGATGAAATAGTTTGAAAATCAGACACTGAATTCTAAATAATTTGAATTTCCAATTCTGTTCTGCAAATTCATGCTCTACTCTGTGTGTTTGTTCCTTTTTTTATAAGGTATACAAATTAGGCATACAAATTATGTCTGGTCTGCAGCTTAAATCACAATCACAATATTTTAAAATTAAATGTGTTCATGGTTCGCACAAAATATAAGGCAAAACTGTTTCAATAAAACCCATAACAGCAAGGTCACAGGGTTCATAATGCAAGTAAGGAATTCATATTTTGACAGATAAAAATATAAAGACAATCTTGCAAAAAGCAAGATTGGAAAAACAAATTTGAATTGGCATGGAAAATTCATGTAACTACAATGAACAGGTATGCATGGACACAGAGTACATTAGTGCAAAACTCTGGTGCCACAGGATAAGGCAAAAGGTGATGTGGGGAAGGACAAAGAACAGACAAACACAGAGCTGGTGCCGCGGACCTGGGGTACAGACATGTTAGGGGGAGCAGGTTATGGTGCTGAGTAGCCTGTGGGTAGACAGGAGATGGCTTGACATATAGGTGGAGGTGCATGAGAAACACACAGATTGAAAAAGGATCAGGAGGGTGCAGCCTTATCAGGCTAGGGCCAGACCACCTTACCCCCCTCTCTCCTGCACCCAGCAGTCAGACTGGACCGGGCAAAACTGCATGCCAGCAGCACTGCATGGCGCTTGCCTGGTAAAGAGAAGCTTTGTGCAAAGTGTTTATGTGTGTGTCAGACTGAGCATGTTTGCCACAGTGGTGTAGGCCAGTAGGTAGCAGCCAGCAAACATTCGGGCAAACACAGATGCACGCAGGTTGGACGCCACTAGAAACACAGATGGACCAGCACCAACAGTGGGGAATCTCTGTGTTTGAAGGGAATTCAAAAACAATCTGTGCCAGTAATAGTGTCTGATTATCAGCTGGTAATAAACAAGCAGTGAAGAAGAAAAATCTGACAATAAATAGCATTTTTTGTAATGATTGTCTCTTCAGTGGAGACCGCATGTTTGACTCCAGCTATTTTTTTTATTTATTTGGACTTTATTTGTGAATTTGAATCTGTATTTTCTGATTAAAAATAAGTGGTCTTTCATCAGTGATGTTTTGAGTAATTACTAAATAAATAACTTTAAAAAAAAAATTAAAATTTTTTTTTTGCTCAATTTGGTAACTGTGTTTTTTTTTTCTTTTTCTTTTTGTATCCACTTTCTTCTAGGAGTTGGTGGTGAAAACACTGATAGTGGCTGAGCCCCATGTGCTGCACGCCTATCGCATGTGTCGCGCCGGGCAACCACCAGGGAGCGACAGTGTCTGCTTTGAGGTTCTGGGCTTTGACATCCTCCTGGACCGCAAACTCAAACCCTGGCTGTTGGAGGTACAAATCTGAGTAGATATGCGTTTCTTTGTGAGGATAAACAATTTGTTTCTAATCTTCCTCTTTGACTTTCACTTCCAGCTGCTAAAAATGAGCATTTTGTTTTTAGTTATTTATCAATATAATGTTTTATTATTATTATTATTATTATTATTATTATTATTATTATTATTTATTATTATTATTATTATTATTATTATTTCAAGTCTTTTAAAATGTCTATTGCGAATGAAATATTTTCCTATTTTCACAATTGAGTTTTTCTCCCCTTTTGCTACTGGAGTGACAGCAGAAGTGTAATGGCATGAAAAGGTGTGAACAAACACTGATGTTGGTTACACACCATTTCCCCACACCAAACACCTACAGAGTATCAAGTATCTATTTATGATCCTTTGAACAGCCATGAAATACTGATATAAACGTTAAGCAATGCACATAGGGTATGCATGATTAGTAGGATTTATGCATTCAGACATACTCAAGCTCAATAACAAACAGATAACACATATCCAGAAAGTAGAAATATAGGTCAGGATCTCATGTTCACTACAACGAACCAAGGTTCTCATTTTTTTCCAACTCCTGCCTCTTAAGCGTCACTCATTCCAGATATAGATTGAAGTCCACTCCAGGATTTCTGTCTCACCTTTCTGATGTCAGCCAGTCAGTTAAAGAGTGACCTAAATCCTTTAACCCAAAGTGGCTACCCTCACACCCCCCTTCCCACAAATTGGACAGAAAGATAGGAAATGCCGTTTGAAGTGTGAATCGTAGTTTTGTTTTTCCTCCTAATTCCAAACAAAAAAGATTTTTCCTTTTGTCTAGCTGGAAGTTTGCAAGAAAGTGAAATGTGTGAGCTGTTTATTTCACTGATCGGTATTTCTTTTCTTTGAAATGTTAAAATTTATTTTATTAATTTGCTTTTGTGGAAAGGTTGCAACTTGAAATGAAAAGATGTACAAGTGAAACCTAGAAGATTGCACTGTCTTTGACTGCCATGACTTTGTGGGCACATGTGCTTGTTCGCGCGTGTGTGTGTGTGTGTGTGTGTGTGTGTGTGTGTGTGTGTGTGTGTGTGTGTGTGTGTGTGACACAGCAAACAGCCGTGAATGCAGTTGTTCCACTCCAGCAGTAATGATCCCCCCTGTGCTACCAGCAGCTCTCTATAACGCTCATCAATTAACATCCCATGTACACACACACACACACACACACACACACACACACACACACACACACACACACACACACACACACACACACACACACACACACACACACACACAACCCTGTTTCTCTTTCACGCAACATTTGCAGCGACAATCATTTATTTCCAAAATTCAGCTGATTAGTGGGGACATTTTGAAACCATAGAGACACTGAATGCAGTCCTTGGTCTATGTACTGTCAAGCCTGAAAATAGCTTTATTACTACTTTTTAACTTGTTAGTGTATGTATTCCTGCAGGAGTGCAAAACGCAGGAAGCCCCAAAGGCTCGTTGCCACAACTAGTGTCCTATGGCAAGCCCCCAGGCCTAAATTACATTTTTCAGGACATTACTTTTGAAGCCATTTTTTAATAAACTAAATCTATTTCACTGAATTTCACCATTTTACACCATTACATATTTCTAAGACAAAAAAAATGTTAGAAATGTTTCAGAAAGTAAAGACCTTAGAGGTTTGTCTTGAGTTTGTGGACTTTCTTTATTGGTGTCACACTGAATTACGGGTGCCACGCCTTGCCGGGGCCTTACCCAGAGTGGTGTTCCGACAATGTTCTCCCTTACTCTTCAGGTTGTCAAAGCCGGTTGTTGAACATGCAAACTTGCAGGCAGGAAATGAAAGTTCAACCTGTGTAGACTCAAAGACGATCAGATACCTGAAAGCTAGATGGTATCATGTATAAGAATCTGTCAGATGATATTAGTTGTGCCCTTGAATTTGTGTTTTTGTCAGCCGCTTTCTGGGTGTGTCATGGAGGATGAGGGGGGAGACAAAACATTCCTTCATATTACCAATTATATTTTAATAAATAGCCAGCTTTCTGTTGTTTTTTTTAAAATAATAAGATCTATTCTAATTAGTGCCACTATAAATATGTTTTAAATTGAAAGACTAGTTTGCAGTAACCTCTGCTCTCTGAAAGCAAAAAAAAAAAAAAAAAAAAAAAACACAAAAAAACCCCCTCAAAATCACTTACTGCAAGTAAACTCCTAAGAAATACAGAGATAATAGAGAAAACAATCCATAGATCCTCATTCACCTGCTAAATAGCTTGTCACTGGGGTGAGAACATAGAAGACAAGAGCGATGCCTCTCAAACCAAGGGGAGGCATCAAACAGACGCATTGTGCTCAAAGCAAGTATCGAAAGGGGAGAAGAGAAGGGGCAAAAAAAAGGAGACACAAGCTTTTGTGTGATCCTTATCTTAATTCAGCAGTCTCAACACGAGTTTTAGCTTCTATTGACATTCAAAACACCAGTGAGACACACACAAACACACACACTTGCCCAAATGGCGTAACTCGAGACATTCACTTTCATTAAAACAGGTCCAGACAGCATCTGTGTCTCGTATCGGAAAGGCGTTTCATTGAGCCGTGATGACCGCTGCGCACACACGCACCCATTCACCCATTCACCAGTATACACAATCTGCCTGGACTGTAGTTTCTTCTGTCAAAATCAGGGTATTTGCTCCGAGGGTTTCATTGAGTATGTCCTTTGTCTTCAGCAAAAAAAAGAAAGAAAGAAAAAACAATAATCAATGCACAGTCTCTCATAAATTCTTAATATGTGTACCGATGCCTTAAAACCTGTGTGAGTGTCAAAGAGGAAGGCACATGACTTGAAATCTAGTACGAGACTCAAGGATTGCATTTACACGTGGTCAAAAAAAAAAAGAAAGTAGAAGGATATTATTATCAAGTCTTGCACTCCTAGAGCCCCTGTACTTAGGGACCAAGTGCTATAAGCCAGCATGACAAATGGTGTCAACTTTTTTGAGTAAAATGGAAAAATGTTATCAATAGTTTGAAGGCGGGGGATGGGAGAGGATGAAATAAATAAAAACATAAGATATAACCACTGACCATAGGCCAGTATGATTATTTTTTGGTTGATAATGTTAACAGAATTTACCAAAAAGTGCAAACAAAAATTATACAACAAAATATAATTAATTAATTTCATTGAATTTTTCTTAACAGTTTTTAGCTTGGTTGTGGTGATTTCATAATTGTGACAAATTGAATTTCTTTAGTTTCCACATCTTCTGCTTTTTGCCTCAGAAATATTTCAAAATAGCAAAATGTTATTTTTTTACACAATAACTATAGAAATATTAATATGCAGTATGAAAAGACCAAAATTACTTATTTGCTAAATGCTTAAAGAATATTTTTGCATTACATATTCTTTGTACTTTCTGAAATTTACATGTTATATTTCAATATTTGGTAGAATTGCCTTTTGAAGTGTCTCACTTGGGTGAAATATTTATGTATCCTTCCAAGAGTTTCTCACATTTTACGTTGGAATTTTGACTGAAATCTGACAGAAATTGTGTAAGTGAGGCATTTTTTTAAATTGGCAGAATTAAGGATTTTCTGTCAAACAGGACTCAGAAAAGCATCATCATCCTTTTGTTTTTTGTAGGTTAGATTACTGCAACAGAGATTGTATAGGTGTATGTGGAAAAAAAAAACAACAAAAAAAAACTCCATCAGAGTGGCGGTTCACCCAAAATGCTGCTGCCAGCGTCCTAACCAACACCAGAAAGAAATGGATCTCATCACCCCTGTTTTTAGAGTGCCGCAGTGGTTCCTTGTTTGCTAAAGGATAGGTTTATAAAAAAAATGCTCTTCATCAGTAAAGTACTGAATCAACTTGGATTGCTTGTGAAGTGTGACCCATGTTTTGGTCCTCATTGTTCTTAGGACCAAAACTGAACAAGGAAAAATGGCAAATTTCCAGAAAACCTAAAATTTGCAGAAACTGCTAGCTCATTTAAATCAGGCTGAAATTTTCTTGTGTACTGTAGGTTTTGATGGAAGAATTATTATGATATTATGATTTTTGCCTGATCACTGATGAGTGATTTAAGTGTGAGATTGAAGATTTAATTAGCATTTAACCTTTGTTTCTTTTAATGCAGTGCTTAAAAATGCGTTAGGGTTTTTGTTATTTTAATATATTTCATTCATTTTAATGTTAAGAATTTTGCATCGACTTGTGTTTGAATGGTCCTGCATAAATAAACTTCCTTGTGTTACTTGGCAAAACAATTTATTTTGAAATTGAGACCCGAAAGTAGTTGTAACAATGACCCTATGCTTAGGGTAACTGCTACGTGTCTTTTAATAGTTTATGTAAATGTGTTACTTTTAGCTACATAAGAAAAAAGAATACCTTCAGCCAGCTGACCAGCAGTGTGCAGCAACTGCTGGACACTGTTGAGGGCCTCAGTTTAAATACAGCCAGAGAAACTCTGCTTCCTCTTGCAATTTCTCTGCATTGCTTAAAGATCTTTAAAACCATAGGAGTGATGTAAAGAAAAACTTTAGCATTTTTAATACCTTGGAATGTTTTTATACCAGTAACCAAAACATGATTTGTAACCATGCATGCAACATTAAGTCTCAGCTATTGTTTATATCTGAACCTGAATGCAACAAGGGCCCAATTTATGTTCTCATGAGGTTCCAATGGGTAACAATGATTCCCACTGCTATGATCAGTGGTCTGAAGGCTACCCTCATTATAAGCTTATAAGCTGTGGCTCACTTCTTCTTGCTATTTTTTGTTGTTGTTTATTGTTTCCCCTCATCAACCATAAAACTCCAGCTGCTCAGTCCTAAACAAAAAGGAAGTGTTTGTAATGAGCCTAAAAAAATGAAAATTTTTTCAGTCCCAAGGCAGATTTTTTTTTCTTTTTATTGGTGAGCTCCCAACATCTTAAAAGGCTGGTTGGTCTGCTTGTTAGAGGCGCAACG